CCACTTTGCTGCGCATAGCTCCCTCTGCTACCCTCAGAACTACGTCGAAATGCCAACCAAGGAGCACGAGTTTGCATGCGAGCGTGGCCTGGGCAAAGTGAAGCAACGGTCGAAGCTATCCCGAGCTCAAACGTTCGCTTTTGGTCAGCACTCGCCAATGGAGGATAGTCCAACCGGTCGATGCCGCGGAGCAAGCGATCGCAACATCAACACTGCTTTCGAGAGCCCACTTGGGCGAGGCTTTTCCCCTGGCCGTCTACCTGAACGACGCATGTTCTCATACTAGCATGCAAACGAACCTACATACCTACCCACCTTTTTTCTTTCCCTTGCCAATGGGTGCTAATGTTCTTGATGGAGTTACGCCTTAACCTGACTTGAAGTCCTAACGTTTGATTCTACACCTTACCTTACGCCTGGCGCACCGGATCCATTTCCTTTCATTTCCTTACGGGTAACCCTTGATTCCATAGCATGGTCACAAGGCTCCCTATTTTTCCTCTCTCTCTCTTACCTTTCTCCACTTCGATTCTCGTCTTGTTCGCCAGCGACCGGAAAAGCGTTCAAGCCAGACCAAAAAGTTCTCTTTTTCTGCTTTCCTTGTCGAAAGCGTCATAGCGGAACTCTTCATTGATAGCGTCTCTTTTTCCCTTTTCCCTTTTACTTTCCTACCGGGAATTCTTTCCTTTTCCTTTTCCTATTATTATCCTGAGCGATTGATTATTACTTGACCCAGCGCAAGCGTTTTTCCTTTTATTCCCTATTCCCTCTGTTTCTCTATGATCACGTCCAATTGATTGATTGACTGACTGACCCAATTACCCTGCACCATTACCCCAGTTTTTCCTTATCCAACATCACCAATTTCCTTTGTCAATATACCTGTTTTTCCTTGTTCATTTTTTCCCTTTGTCTACCACTCCTCCTGCCCGGCCTCTACCGAGCTGGGCTGAGCTGTTTCCCACCAATCTGCCATGCGCCACACCTTCTCCTCCACATGCGATGTCAAGGAAAAGCGCACACGAGTTCCGAAAGACCCCTTCTACCAACAATGCCACGCCAACGCCAACGCCAACACTAACGCCCTATCTATCTGACACTCCTTCAGCTTTCTTTCCGCTCTTCCATCTTATTCTGTTCCCGCTCTTCATGCCGGGCGCGGGACGCTTTCCTAGCTTTCCCAGCCTTCTTTCATCACCGGATCGGATGAGAGCTCAATCTGAAACAACCCCCGCTGCTGATCCCCGGCTATGATGCGATGATGGTACCGCCTGTCTGGCCACCAAGGGCTAAACGCAGTTTCGCCTCCCCCTCTTTTAACCTCTTCTTCCTCTTTCCTCTCTATCCTCATGCCTCGTGCTTGCGCCGCCACGCAAAACGCCACGCTGTGCTGGGCAAACATCAAACAGCAAACAATAACACCAACAACCTACTGGACCCATTCGCTCTCCCCTACCCGAAGCGGACATTCACCGCTCCTCAATTTCTTTCCTCTGTTCATCTAGATTCGGTCAGGTCACGGGCGGTACTCTGTTTGCATTCGTGTTTTACCCTTCGCTTATCTCTTTCCCGATTTTTTTGTGTATCTCATAACCACCCACACGCGTCTTGAGTCACACACGCCACATGAGGTTGATCCAGACAGGTTACAGCAAGGCTACGGAACACAGCACAATGGCCATGCTTATCTGCTGCGATACAACTCTCTCTTCCTGCTAGTGGTCTCTCGACAACACGTGCATTGCGTGACTATTTGGTCTTGCACCGATTTTTTTATCCTGTTTTCTATCTCTAGCTTGGAAGCGAAGGAGCAAAGGATTGGGGTCCTTGAGCCAGCGTTCTACTACATACGCAGTTACTTTGAACTAGCGGAACAGCATACGATTAACATAACATAACATAACATACCAAAAAAATAAAGAAAGTATCAATTTACTTAACGACTTCTCGACTTCTCGTCTTCCTTCGCGTGTTTCTTTTTTGTTCGTGTAAATAAACAAACAACGCCAAGACATACGTCATCATTTTTGCTTTTTGTAGCCGCAAATTCTAAATTTAGACTTTAATTTTTGCTCGCACTGACAAAAAATTGAATATCAAAACGCAAAGTCAAGATAACACAACGGCAAAGATCGCCAATATAGGCGAAAAGCGAGAGACACGAAATAGGAGAAGCGAAAGGAGGGGTTCAAGATGGAGGGAATCGGGATAGACGACATCCTCGCGTCGGTAGATAGGGGTGACATCTCGTCTCCCGAAGCCACGGCCGTCGACCACCAGCAGCTAACGCGGTTCTGGGTCGCGGAGCGGGCTGTCCCTGAACTGCTGCCATGGCCAGGCGCGCTGATGGACCGGATGATGGAGAGGGTTTCCAAACAGGTACTTGCTCGCGACAATTCCCGCAACCACCGTGAATTATCGTTTAACTAGTTAGTTGCTAATCGAACCGATGATGTACAGATATCCAGGATTGAAGACCTCTCGATGGCAGCAGCCGATCCGCTCTCGCCGGAGAACAATAACCAGAACAAGCCAACGCTGAACCTCAAGCTATCAATAATGCAGTCCGACCTGGCACGGACACAATACATCATTCGCTCAATATTGCGCCAGAGATTATCAAAGCTTATCAAGTACAGCATATACTATCTACGGATAACAATGAATCAGCAGTCGCAGCAACCGCAAACCCCCGCGGGGGCGGACGCAGCCTCCTTCCTCTCCGAGAAAGAACTACAGTTCTTACGCGGCCATCAGTCGCTGCTAACCACGCATTACAATGTTTCGTTTTTATCCACGTTTCCCGCGAACCTGAAAAGGCTAGACGATAACGTCGGTGGTACGAACATGGTTGTTGCGCCGGAGAATAAGGAGGTTGTCTTCGTGCGGTGTTTGAGTGACGAGGCTAGGATTGTCATTCCTGCTTTGGAAGGTGAGGAAGGGATGGCCGGTCTTGAAAGGTATGGTGGTAGGATGGCCAGGGAGGAGGTATGGGTTGTTCGATGGGAGGGCGTTAAGGATGCGTGGAAAAGGGGGGACGTTGAAGTTCTTTAGTCAGTGTGGGGTTCAGGTTCATGGCATTTCGGCTGGAGTTTTTGGTTATATGGGAGTCTGGGGTTTGGGTGGTTTACTGATGAGATAACGACATAAGTATACAGTTGAACATATTGATATCATGTAGCTGGTTAAGTAACTAGCCATTCAAATGAATTACTACACCCCTAACGTCCTTTTGACCCATGTAAAAGAATACGACCAAACATACTCCGTAGAATACTCAAGAGAAACACCTACGCCGTCACTCTCTAGAAGTATGTGTATATGACCTTGTAAGTTGGACCAAAACTCCCAAATAACTCCCTATACTGCCACCCCGGCATCGTCATTAGTTATCATTTCAAACAATCACTTCGTACATAAAGTCTAAAATCTAGAAGAATTTGTTATTGAAGCATGATTCCCCATCTACGCAACGTAGGAGTAAGCCGGGGGGTCTGAGTCGGTGATACGTTCCAGGTACTCCCGATCGATGAGACTTTCAATTCGTTTCTTCACCATGTTTACGTCTGGCGTGAAACGAGCTGCAAGCTGCGAGATTGCCTCCGTAATCACTGCGAATGAGCCAATGTTTTCCGTTGTCTAGCAAATATGTCAGTTGGAGGTACTGGGAGACAGTAGGGGATGCCTGGTTACTTACTTCATGATTCGAACAATGGCAGCTTCAATCGTGTTACCTCGCTCTTCACTGGTCTTTTTCTCAGTATCCGTTCTTTCTTCTTTGTTTTCTACCTTGTTACCGCCAGCGCTGACGACACCGATCTTCAATCTCGTGAACTTGCTTGTGAATTGTTCGTTGAAGGAGAACTTATCCGATGGCTGCACGCCTTTGCTCATGGGCTCTTTACGTAGAACTCGAGTCTTCGGCGCCACGGCAAGCGATTGGAGGTTTCGAATGAGTTCATTGGTAGGAATTCTGGTCTTTTCCTGGATTTCTTCAAATGTGAGGGATTCGCCGGAAGGCATATCGTTAAACAAAAGTAGAATGACCATCGCATACGTTGAGACGTTCAGATCATGCCGCTCAACCTTGCCATTGGGCCGTGTGAACGTTGCGCGGATGTCCGCTGTACCCATTCCTGGGAGCCACCACAGTTTCCTACCGCTGTGCTTGTCAAGGTAGAACCGTTCGAAGCTCTGCTTGAGAGATTCTACATTTTTCGGGAAGATGCAGGGAAGCTGAACCTGGCCGTCTCTGCTGTAGCTGCTCATAATCTCCATAGGCCACATGGTACTTGTGAGAACGCTCATCTCCAGTTCGATCCGTTTAATATCAGGATCACCTTGCTGTGCGATATAATCCCGATAGTTGGTGGTGAGATCAGTAGAAACAGCCATGTCTTTGAACATCGACTCCAACCGCTGTGTGAACGTATTTCCTACTTCCATCTTCATCTTTGCAATCATTTGGCGCTCAGCATCCATGCTTGCTGACCGTTTCATAAGCAGACGACGAGACAAATGTTTTTTGTAGTAAGTTTCGAAGAGATCCTTGTCCCGAATGTACCGTAGGAGGGTGATGCCGTTTTCAATCAAGGTATCAACCTCTTCTTCCGTCTTCCCCTTGATGCCTTTCCTCAAATTCTCGTCAAAGAAGAGGGAAAGATACTCAGTGCCTCGAGGGTTGACATTGATAAAGTCTGAGAAGCTATAAGTAAGAGAAGTTTGTAGGGCCTGGTCCTTAACAAAAGCCTCTTCCCATATTCGATCAAATTTCGCCTTAAGTTTGAGAACATCATCCACCCACTTTATAGCTGCTGCCGTCTGCACGTTTAGAACAGGCGGTTTTTCCTCTGCTGCTGAAGGTTTCTTCCCTGGTTCTATTGTTGAGGGAGCTGGTGGATTCTGTGAAAGTTCTTTAGCCGCATTGTTGATAGCAGTCCCGTATTCAACAACTGTCTGCTGAACAACCCTGGTCAATGCAGCTTTCTTCGCATCAATGCGAGCAATAAGTTCGAATACATTTCGAAGATCTTCTAGCCGGTCGTTCTGAATCATGTACTTGACACCGCTGTCGTCCATACGGATTACTTCTCCGATATAGTGTCTGATCAAGCAGTCATCGATGACTTCCATGACCTTAGCCTCCGTCACAGGGGATAGAGTCTGCCGACACAAGGATTGCTCTGCTTTAATCCTACCCGTAACTCGCTTGCAAAATGTCGCCGCATCAGTGGTTGTAAGTAGACGTTGGCCCTCTGCCGCATAGTACTTGCGGCTCGCCTCAAGGAACGCGGGTTCGAAGGTGGTATGGTATAGTTTCCCGGATGGGTCTTCCATACCATCTTCATATAGACCATCCAATAGGTAAACACAGTGTTTGATTAATGCACGGTCTATTATGACACCTTCACGTTCAAGCAGTATCATGAACAACATTGTGTTTTCGAAAACGGAGCCGATCGTAGCGTTCGCTTCTTCACCAATATCTGCTCTCAGCACACAGTCACGGAATAAAAACATTGACGTATCGTATATGGATTGATTCCTAAGCTCTTGCATCACCACACGGTCCATGTACATCAAGACATCAGTGATCATGCCCATGCAGAGCTGGTGGTCTTCCCAGACTTCCTTGAGCTTTGTCAATAGCCGCTCTCCGGCCGCCTTTCTTTCGTTGGCGTGCTCGGTCGCATCAATAGAGTCGGTAATTGTAAGAAGGGCGGGGGTAATCAAGGCTGCGACTTGTTTGCGGACTTCGTTATATAGCCAATCCTTCTCCAGATCAGCCACTTTTTCGTACAGGTCCATAGCCTGCTTGCGCAGGACCAGCTTGTAGGCATTGCGATAGAGTTCTTCAAATGAGAGCTGAGAGGAGTTTTTTGTGTGTATTTCGCGTATCGACGAAGCAAGTATACCCCATACTGAGGCAAAGTCGTCATTTTCACTTTTACCCGTCATTCCCTGAAGAAAATCACTGTTAACAATACAAGCCGCGATAAAACTAAAGCTCCCATAAAGAGTCATAGAGCCAGAATAAAAGCACAGTATGTAATTGGAAGAGGTACATGAATGTATAGTTCCAGTAGGAAGCTCTTGGGAGTTTACATACCCTCCTTGGGACCCTCACTTTTGCGCGCGGCTTCATGGCGACGAGCAGTACACAAAAGGGGATGTATTTGTAGATTAAAGCTATTCAAGGGCTTAAAAGATGTTGATAGTGAGATGGAGGAAGAGATGCAGAGTAGAGGAAGCTGGATGAAGCTGGGGTTTATATCCAATCTATGCAGCGGGGGCTCGCTTTGGAGGAAGCTCTCAAGTAGTTTCAGGCTTTTGACAATGCATTGAAACAAGGGGTGTGTCTCTCTTCTCCTGCGCCAGCCAGGCAGCAGGCCTTCTCTCTTCTTCGATATGCTTCTTCGTCCACTCTGCTCGTCTTCTTCTCCTCTTCTTCAGCTCGATGTTGTAGTTGTCACTGTCTCTCGTTGCTTCGCGGGGAACTTTTTTTATCTCCGAGACGGCTCGGCGGCGAAACGTTTTCCCGGAAAGGCTAAAAGTTTAAAAGTTGAGGATTTGAAGATTTGATGAAGATTAAAATAACAACAACCCCAAAGGAAAGACGGGGTTATCATTAAGAAAGACGGCAGATACACAGAAGAAGGGCGGATATATATCACCATGGCCGCTGGACAGAGACTACTTCGAAGCGCACTCACGGCTTCCTGCCGGCTCCCCGGTGTTTCGCTCTCACGACAGGGAGTTCAGTCAATATCCACTCCATTCATACTGCGACGTACTTCACCATCATCCTCAAAGATTCTACCACGATCTCCAGTGCTATTCTCCTCAGTACTTGGCAGGAATAGCTACTCGACGACGACCAGAGACCCCCACCCACTCACCGACAACAAGACCCCGGCAACTACGGAAGAAGATGCCCAGGCAGCTCAGGCTCGACGTGACCAGGAGCCCGCATACCTAATCTACTTTACGTGCAAGCCATGTTCTCACAGGTCGGCACACCGCATTTCGAAGCACGGGTACCACAAGGGCACTATCCTTATAACGTGTCCAAGCTGCAGCAACCGACATGTTATCAGTGACCACCTGAAAATTTTCTCGGATGCGCCGGTCACACTGGAAGATTTGCTGGCCCAGAAAGGCATGAAGATCACCAAGGGGACCATGGAAGGAGATATGGAATGGTGGGGTAAAGATGAGGAGACCACTGGTACCAGCTCAGATTCTTGCGCTGCTTCTACATCTCAACCTGAATTAAAGGGTGGTGAAAACCAGGACGGAAAGCCTTAGACCGGCCTGTGACCGTGCCGATCCATTTTTTTTTTTTAGAAGTTATGCTGCGGCGTTTATATCATTTGAATATCTATGAATGGCGCATGGGGTGGGCCGCCGTTGGAAAACGGCCATGGGTTAGATCACTTGCTCAACGATCTCCTTTTTGCATCGTGTATCATATAGAATGTACAATACTTTAATTTCTTCAGGTCTATCATGTGCTGAAATCCTAATGATGTATTCAAGAATCCTTCAAAAACGCCATTTTCCCCCAGATCAGTTGTTTTTATATCCCTAGCCCCATGACTCCATTGAAAAAGTATCCGTCTTTAAAGTCATGTATATGCTTAGAGCTCATGGCGACGGTTTCTGTTTTCTAGCCCTCTTTCTTTTCTCTTCTCTCTCTTTCGATCATGTTTGCGTTTCTTGTCACGGCCTACTTTCTCCGGTGCAGTGACAGCCTCTATCCTCCGCTTCACTCTACGTTCTTCTCTCCTCTCCTTTATTCGCTCCCGGGCCTCGCTCATATGTGCCACAAAGTCAGTGGTTCCTAATTTTTTCTGTAGAATATCAAATACCTCCTGACTACTCGTCACTAACGACTTGTATGTGCTTTGGAAAGTTTCATTTGATGATCGTGGTGCTGGTATTGAAGGGTCGGTCAAATGTAGAAGAGGCAAAAGGATAGTCTGGAGATATGGCACCACCTTCGAGGCATCAAGGTGAATGCAAAGAGCAGCAATCATCTTCATAGAAGCAGTTTTGGCATTGAGTGATTCTGCTCGCGTAGTGAGGACTTCCTTTCGAAGGATTCGAGCTCCTTGTTCAAATATATACTGGATGGCGGTCTTGTTGCTACCCACAGGCTTAGAATTGGGTACAGTACCCTCTTCGTCATCCTCACTTTCTTCAATCTCCTCAGTCTCCCTTTTAGGGAGTACCAGGTCACTCTGGGCAAAGCAGCGGCCAAGGAATATCAGATTTCGAACAGTCTGGGTCGCAAGGTCCTCGGATACGTTGGGTGTTTTCAAGCAAAACATGCTTGAACGGGTTATTTGGAGCATGAGTTTGTCGTCCAGTAGCAAGCCTGATGAACCAGCCAAAGGAATGGATGCATATCCAGTTGCTGAATTCGACTTGGCTACATCTGCCAGCCAGACGCCAATCAGATTCGCTGCACATGATCGTACCCAGGCTTGGGGATAGTTCAGGCTTTGAAGAACTTGAGACCAGATATTTGCATAGGATGGGTTCATTGTGACATTCGGGAATAGCTTCGATAGCTTCACAAAAAGCTGAAGGGAGTAGTATAAAACTTCCCATTCATTCGCTTCCCTATTGTCTAAAGAAAGCCCCATAATACCTGGCAGAAGCTCGGTGACGAACCTGACGTATCTGTCTTTGTTTTTGGCGTCAGACTCAAAGAATATTCGAATAGCCTGCAGTCCTGTGGTCGTAAGAGCAAGGTTATCGGACTGTTCAAGCCACGACTCGAGTGGAGACAATATGGTCTTTATATGCTCAGCGTCAGCACGGGTGAAGATAGCCCCTAGAAGAGAGCCAGCCATTTCCCGGCAGGTAGGTGCCTCATCATTAGACATAACCATCACGAGAGGAATAAAGAAAGTGTCTACCATTTCCTGAGCCAACTCTCCGTGTGTCTTCGATAGGATGAGATGGATGGCTTCCATCACGGACTCCCGACCTTCTCTGTGGGCATAATCCAGGTTTGTTGCAAGATATGCCATCTGCTTTGTCCATCTGTTTTTAGCCTGCGGGTACTCAACCAAAAATTGCACGTATGTGCCCCTTGCCAGGTCACGGGCATTCCGCGTATGGTTCGTTACCATCATGGCAGAGATCTTATCAACGACTTCGTAGATTTCCGGTACCATAAACTTGCGTGACATCACAGCTCTGATGAAATTGAACACAATTCCCTGGCGGTCGGGCTCGTCGATATCCGCAGATACGCGCTTTAACAGATATGCAAGGTATGAATCTTTGATAGTGGTACGCTTTCGTTCCCGCAGCACGGTAGAAACCAGTTTGAGAGCTGCCTGTGATGCGTCGGTGTTGGAACTTGCTGATTCCTTCATTAGTTTGACACATTCAACGATATACACATCCGCATTCTTATCAAGCTCGGGTAAGGGAAGTTTGATGATGGTAGACAAAAGTCGAATGGCAGAGAGTTTGACTTCTTCGTATCCTTGTACAATCGAGTCACCGATAACAGGGACAAAGCCCGCAACATTATCTGCAGTCAATAAGGAGTTATATTTGTTGAGTACAGAGCGAAGCGTATCCAAGCTAAAGCGGGCCAGCTTGTAAAGGTACGACGTAGTGCTTCCGCCGCTCTTCTTTCGAATAGACGCAACCTGGACGAGGAATCGACTTCGTGTTTTCCATTCGTCGTTGTCTAGCACCGGCTCAGGGACCTTGTATGATTCTTTGACCACTTCATAGCAGAACATCAGAAAGTCACGGCTTTCGACCCCTGGGTTTCTCAACAAGCCTATGCCAATGCGCCGTAGTAGCTCGTCTATCTTACCCACCAGGCTAGATGTGAGTTTCTCCTGCAGAAGCAGTTGAATCGGCTGGACAAGGTCATAGACGTGCCTGATACTAGCATTCTTGGCCAATAGCTCAGCAGAATCGTAGCTTTTGCTACTTTTGACTTCTTTCATCTTACTAACGTATTCTTCAGCATCCTTCTGTTGTCCAACGGTACCGAATATATCGTCCATAATGATTTCACCCAGGATTCTCAAGTCCTGGTCCAACGCGCCAACCTCAAACTCATCCGCAGTTGCTACGAGAATAGAGTGAACTGTAAATGAGAGCACATGAAGCTGATATCCTCTACTTAGTGCACCTTTCAATTCTGTAAGGATATATCCAAAATATGACGGCCCCAGAAGAATGGCGATATCTGCAAGAGTCTTTCTCGCAGTGTCTCTGGTATCCTGTGCACGGCTACGCAAGATACTAGACACATCCATTAAAAGCGAAGGAAGCATCAAGGCCATGTCCTCTTCGGGTAGCAATTTAAGCAGCTTGACAGCCGCCACTGCTACAGGAAGACGCAAAGCAACGTCAGACTCGTTTCGCTTGTTGGTAAATCCGGTCAGGAAAGGAATGAAATTTGTCTTTAACTCGGCCGTTAATTTGGTACCATTAGGGACTGAAGAGCTTAGGGTGTTCTGGATGGCTGGGCGCTCCTCTATAAAAATTTCCTCTACCATTTCCTCAGATGCTCCTTCAGCATTTGCTGGTGTAGCTTTTCCTGAAACAGCACGCGAAAGAGCATCTGTCATTTGGCTAAGAAGCCTGATAACGTTTTTCTCTAATCCAGGTTTGCTTTTGATATAGCCCTGGTATCGACGGAATATAGCTTTGAATTGGTTCCACGTAATGGCTTCACTCAAGGCACCAATTGTCGTAACAGCTCCAGCAGTTAAATTATGAGCATTCTCATCTTCAGATTGCTGGAAAACAAAATGTTCAACAAGAGGGAAGAAAATTGTGCTGGCATTGGTAGCTTGAATCTTGCCCTTAGTAACTTCGGTGGCAAGTCTTCTCAACGCACGCAGACGCCGATGTTGTTGTATATGAAGGATGTTATTGAAAAATGAGGCCTCCTCATCACCTCCAGCCAACAAGTCATGCATATCCTTTACAGCTTGAAGGTCGGTGTGTTCCTGAATCAAATATCCAAGGAGAGACACAAATTCTGCACGAACTATTTCCGTGTTTTGTTTGGCGCCATTGCGAAGGGCAGGAAGAAGAACCTTTTCAACTAGGTCTTCATATTCTGGATCCGACTTTTCGCCTCGGAGCTTTGTGACTTGAATGAACCGTTTAATGCTGAGTGAGGCACTCGAGCGAATGGCAAGTTCTTCCTCGTCTTTCAGGCTGTATATAATGTTGAACAAAAGTGGCCTCCACTGCTTGGCTGTGAATGTAGAATACTTTTCTTCATTGATGATGGTAAAGGCCTTGAGCCGCCTGTCAAAATCAACTTCGTCCAATCGCTTTGCTGACATCGAATTTAGGTCGGCTACGAGTTTTCCCACTTCAGCCAATTCAGAATCATTGGCAACAAAAATATCAAAGACCACGGCCAAAGACACACGGTTGAGCTGGTCTTTGAAATAATCAAACAGAGACGAAAGGACTTCGAATATACGTTGGGCGAGCTCTGAATCATCTCGTTGTTGGAATAGGGGTAAGAAATGTTGCAGAACTTTGAGAAGACGGCCTTTAGTTTTTGGTGGAACACGGTCTGGAGGTTGCTGGAGCAGAAATGTGGTGGTGCTGATAAGTTTGGAGGTCTCTGCAGACGACACAACAAGAGCGGAGATTCTTGACAGCAGTTCAACTGCGGGGCCTAGAATATGACGTGGAGGTTGTTTCCTGAGGAAATCCTCAAGATGGACCAATATATATTCAATGTGAGGCCCAAGGACCTTTTCGTGAATGGTTTCTGGCGATGGTGCAGACATATCAACATCACCCTCCTCATCCACCTTCTTGTCAGTAGACACGCCGACGAGCGACATCAGAACTTCGTCCAAGACAAATATCTTCACCTCGTCTTGTGCAGACTCCGTAGCTAAACAGTCAACAACACGACGGATAATGCTAGTTCCCTCGAAATACATTGCTGACCTTGGAGAAGAAGCCCAAGTTCGGAACAGCTGAAGCAACCCAGACACTGCCTGGGCTGTTTCCACAGCAAAATTTTCTAGTCTTGGATTGACAACTTCTGAGAGTATAAATGGAACGAATGGATTCCAATCAACTGCTGGAGATACGGAGAAAATCAATTCCAGACATTTGACACCTAATTGTCGAATGTTGCGTAGAAGGCTGAGTTGAAGATTATCACCCGAAGTAATTGGCTCGCTTTGAATCAGTTGTCTATATGCTCGGATAAGACAATATAGCACAACATTCATCGTCTGATTAACAAAAGGTAACATTTTCCTCTTCAAGATGGAGAACATTGTTTCAACCATATTCAGTAAACCAAGCTGCCTTCTCACGCTCATGAATTCTTGGCTCAGTGTTTCCTCTTTGACCACACCTTGATCGTCAAGTAAGGTAACAGTTCCTAGAGATCCAAATGCAATCTGAACAAAGCCGGAAAATTGGTCGTCGGGAAGCTGTGAGACAATTCGTAGTATAGCTTTTCGTCGCGCTTCCTGGCGACCCAGTGAACCGCGTGAACCAGCCCGAGCTACCATTTTGCCGTAAAGTAGTTTCAAAATATAGGGGAATAGTTCCTCTATATGCTCGTTTTTGATCAAACTATTGTCCTTGCCTACATGTACGAAGATACCCAGCTCATCTTTGAACCGGGAATCATCCACCAAGTTAAGGAGATTTTGTTCGTAGGGCCGGACAGCAGGCATCTTCCATGTAAAGACAGCATTGAGAGCAAGCTTTTGTATCTCCAGGTCACCATTGCATAAAAGGCTTGATATCGCATCGTGAGCCTCTGCAGCCTGGTAGAGGACCTTGGGGTTGACAAATTTTCCAAAAAGAGTCAACATCGACTTCTTGTCTTGCATACTCCACCCTTGTTTAGGCTCGCTTGAGATAACATTATTCTCTAGTGATGGCACATCTTCGGGGATAGGTATGGAAGTGTCGTCGCGCGAGACCCATGATAAAAAGAGAGGAACTATCTGACGAGATCTTTTCTCGGCGATTTTAGGAACTGCGTTCAGGACCCTGAGTGCCTGACTCCTTGCGTTTTTTGCCGATTGAGGCTGTGGAGAATGTGATGATTCGAAATCGTTTAATAATGATGAACTAGCATCCTCATTTGTCCGGAACGACTTACGTATCGCCGTCTGGACATCGTTAACATTGAAACACTCATATTCGGATGTTGTGGATGAGGACTTTTGCGAGGCATCCTGAGTACTATGCTCAGGGGTATTTTCGATGGGTGTATCGTGCAGCCAATTCATCGCGATTTCAGATACAACACTTTCACCAGCATCAGTTTCGCATATTACCTTCATAGCCTCACAGGCATCATCCCATACAGAAGCAAGCCTTTTCCATAGCAATCCAAAACAGAAACTTGGAACGAGTCGAGCAAGCCATCTTTTGCGGGATGATTGGGCATAGTTGACTCCAAGCCGACGTATGTCCATGGATATAACTCTTGCTGTTTGAAGAGTAAGCTCGCTGGTTTCAATGCTTAGCGCAAGTGACAAGCAAGAGTCCTCTATTTTTAACCATTTGAAGAGGAGCTGGAAGATTTCCAAAGATAGTAGTCTTAGCTTATGCGAGGGGCTTGACAAATTCGCTAGAAGAGCATTTGCAAACTCATCCAGGTCAACGTCAGAGATCTCAGGAGGTTCACGGAGAAGCGAGGCATATGTCGATATAGCTTCAAGGAAGACAGGAATCCTAGAATATTGGCTAGCTTTGGAACAAAGCAAGGGCCATAGTTCATTGTCCAGCTGGCCAAGCCCGTTGGAAAAGCGAATATAAGTTAACAACCCTTGGCCAAGAGAAAACAGAGTCCCAGGATCGCCTAGTGACCCAGACTCTAAAGTAAGCCGAACTTTTCTGTGCAGGCTATCAACTAGATCAGGGATAATAGAAGGTTCGGTTGAAAAGCATATAGCATCAGGAAGTCTTGAATACGCATTAAGAAGAGCTAGTTCATGTTTGCCAGGGTCTGACGAGTTGAATCTTTTGGATATAACAGACTTCCAGGGATTTGGGCAGGTTAATGAACCGGGTCTGGATAAATTTGAGGTAACTGTGCCAGAGGACTGGAGACGGGGTAAAACCACACATAGCCCTTCTTCATATTCTTTCCACAAAGTAACTATAAACCTGGGGTATATATTAGCGAGCAATATAAGAGAAAATAAAATTCGGGAAGGACAGCTCACTTTTGGAGATACGGATGGACAACACTTTGGAATCTTTCCGAGCCAAGTCCTGCAACCAAGTCACAAAATGGTATAAAGTGTTTAGATAACTTGTCTTGTGAGACAGCATCCATGAGCTGGCGCATGTGTGGTAATAGCTCGTCCATTGGTGAGGCGTGAATGGCAAAGGCCACTGACCCGAGTAGCTTCTCAACAGACCCGTCTGGGAAACTATTGCTTTCTGCTGCTTTGGTGAGCAGGCGTAGCAGGGCCGCATGGACTCTGCTCCAGTCTGCCACTCGAGACCCCTTTCTCGTCACGATACAAAGGAATAGAGTATGGCAACCGACCCGAGTAACTACAGCCTTATCTTTGGCAGATATAGTTTCATTATATTCACAAACGGCATGCAGAGCCGGACGAAAGGTTTCGGCTGTACAATAGTGAACCAGGTTGACCAAGACGCCGCTTAGAACTGTTTCTGACAAAACACTTTGTTCTTGGTCTTTCACACACACGGCCTTCATTAGGCACCGCAGTATATCAATACCGTTAGAATGAACGGCGCTCTTGACACCCTTCATCGCATCCGCAAACATAGCCATAAGACCCTCTTGGTAGGATGTAACCGGACGTCCCTCAGCACCTGTCTTAGCCAAATCCTCAAACAGAAAAGTGACCGCACGCTCGAGAGGTTTTTTGTCCTTGTAGTACACCGCCGCAGCTTTCCGAACAAGAAACGAGACTGATTCTGCCGCAAAGCGGGAAACAAAGTGTTTCTGGTGTTCCTTTCCGAGATACTGCGTCATAATGGCTAGCAGAGGCCTGAGATCCGGTACTAAAAGGCGAGAGAGGAATTTAAATATCCAGGCAAGACAGGTAAAGCTCCATTCTATAACGTCGATGCTCTGGTGGGTCGCCGCTACCGCTGCAATCAATTGCACCGCTGCGGCAAAGTGTTTCTCAAATCTCGATCCAAGGTCCCGTGCGAACTGTGCCATCAAACTAAGAAGTGGTTCCATGCTCAATTCATCCTTTTTCTCAATATATTCCACCAACAAGCCCATTATCGCATCCTGGTGGTATAGTATCTGCGGCAAGTTCTCGCATAGCCGGTTTACACGCTGGACAAAATCTGTAAAATTCTCGGATAGATTGAGCTCAATCCAATGCTCCAGAGAGCCTCTGAAGCAGGAAGCGGTTTCGTCGGCGTCATCTTCGCCAAAGCTCGTCCGGCGCACTCGATGGACAGGGTCGATCTTGAGTTTAAGCACGCGCTGAGAGAAAGGCTCCCATCGGTGGGATTTGGTAGTCGCCGTGCCGCCTTTCTGCAGCCTTGGAGGCTTGCTCCGCTGGCTCGAGGATGCTGTAACCATCGTCGTCCAGCTGCGACAACTCGACTTCTCCGTGCTTCAATCTTCAATTTCGAAGCTCTTCAATTCTTTTTCTTTTTTATTTTCTTTTTATTAACATAAATTTTTATATTTTTAAGTTTCGGTCTATCGGAGAATATCTTATTCCGTATTATTAATTTTATATTAGAAACTCAATTACTCAGCATTTGTTTCTGAGATAATTTGGGGCTTGAAAGACTTCAGAAAAGAAAACAAACTTGATATCGAGCTGGATGATAGTGATTGCGGCCGGGGATATGGCGTCTAAAGTGTAAGATGATACTGGGTATACCCATTGAGCTGTGAGATGCTAACTTGTATACATAGAATCGTCATCGGAGGGGTGAACTCTTCCTTTCGAGAGGTGTTTGGCAAGCTCGAGAAGCTACAGGCCAAACAGCAATTCGCGTGTGCCGTTATTGCAGGAGACCTCTTTGGAGAATTATCTGCTGAAAACTCCAAAGATGACCTCGATGCGTTGCTTCGTGGGGCTATTCATGTAGCATTGCCTACCTATTTTACTGTTGGGAGGAATGGCATTCCGGAACAGGTGGCACAGAAAATAGCGAAGGAGGACGAAGTCTGTCCTAATCTTTTCTACCTAGGGAGACGAGGAGTACTCACCACATCGGAGGGAATTAAGATTGTTGCTCTTGGTGGTGTTCATGGGCCTCTCCCTTCAGATGCTAGCCTGGATGAGAAATACCTTCCATACCATACAGAGGCCGATGCGCAGTCTCTATATTCAGCAGAAAAGGCTGATATTCTCATAACTTACCAGTGGCCGAAAGGGATTGAGAAGGGCTCAAGGGTACCCACCGGGGAAGTCACAGTAGAAGGCAGTCAGTGCGTTGCGAATGTCTGCTTAGCATTGAAGCCTCGCTATCATTTTTCATCGACGACTGACATATTCTACGAACGGGAACCCTTCTTTCATATCCCCGAGGATGAATACACCGTTGAGAGGCATATCACTCGGTTCATCAATCTGGCTCCCTTCTCCACCACTTCAAAACAGAAGTGGCTGTACGCTTTTACCCTGGATCCGAAAAGTGTTCTGCCTACGTCAGTCCCAGTCGGGACGACAATATCTCCTCTCACTGCAGTAGCAGGTAGACGTGGGTCGTTACCTAGCCAGAAAGCATCGTTTTCTCGCTTTAGACAGGATGATGGCCAGCAACGCCCTGCTAAGCGCGCAAGAAAAGCTGCACCTGGTCCATCAGAATGCTTCTTCTGTCTTTCGAATCCCAACATTGCATCTCATTTGATCGCGTCTATTGGGAATGACACATATATTACAACTGCTAAAGGTCCACTACCGACTGCATCTACCTTTTCAGCCCTAGGTTTCCCGGGGCATATGCTCATAATACCTTTGATCCATGCACCATCCCTCACATCGATAGAAGACTCCGAGTCTAGGTCAGCTACCTATACGGAAATGCATGAGTACCGGTCGGCACTTCATTCGATGTTACAAAAGAGGGCTGACATGGGTTTGGGGGCTGTCACTTGGGAAGTGAGCAGGGGCCGTGGTGTGCATATTCACTGGCAGTATATGCCTGTTGATGCAAACTTGATCCGCCGTGGCCTAGTCGAAGCTGCGTTTAAAGTCGAAGCCGAGAATCTAGAGTACCCAAAGGTTGAGAAACGAGAATCTAGCAGCGATGAGCCGGGCGACTATTTCCGCGTCTGGATCTGGGCTCCCGAGCAGACAGCAGACGGAGAGGCCACTGGAAGCGAAACAACACTAGTTCTTCCACTAAGCGATAGATTACGGTTCGATGTCCAGTTTGGCCGGACTGTGATGGCTAAATTGCTAGGGCTTGAGGACCGGCTGAACTGGCGGGATGCAGCGCAGTCAGTGGAGGAAGAGAAGAGAGACGTCGAAGCCTTCAAGAGCGCTTTCCAGGGCTTTGATTTCACCATCTGAAGGCTGACACTGATATCCTTCATTATAGTATTATTATACATTGTTTTAGCTGGTATCAACATTTGCTAGGGAAGAAATAGGGAAGAGTTCCACCAAGAAGGGAAGCTGCGCCAAACATTCAATGTTATTCTTTATGAAGCCATCAACATCAACTCTTACCGTCAACATTGACATTGACTCTTCTATTTGCCCCCCAGATACCAGGGCCCGTGAAATCATTGAATGGGAATATCTGTTCGCGGCGATACTCACGCACATACTTATATATACCTTCGTCACCTTGCCTTACACGATGCGCAGACTCTCAATTTCCTCCTCACAAACAAGCAAACGGCGCAGTCTTCTCCGCCGCAAACGCAAATCTCGAATGAGCGCGGATACACCATCGACAGACTCTTCAACGGACAGCACCGTCAGCAGCTCAGGAAACGCAGAAGCAGCGCTCACGTCCTTGTTCGCGACGACATCGCTCACACGAGTGCCTTCAAGATCCTCCGATACCGTCAAGAAGATGGTCCAGAAGAACAATATCCCAGGCTCCTTGGGCAAGATGACGCCGGCTACCCATCCCGGCAGTCTGGCCATCACCGATACCGACACCACCAACAAAACCAATAAAACCAACAAAACTAACAAAGACGGCGTGGCTATGACGGCAGAGAAGCTGTCAGACCTGTCCCCACCTGCTAAGACAGAATATGGAGCTCTACGTGAACATTGCCCCGGCCTGCCAGAAGACCCGAATCTCCATGGTGGCATTCTGCTCCTTGTAACCGACTCCGTTGGCGAGGTGAAGCTCGGGAAATGCGATGGAGAGCCTGGCTGCGAGACGCCCTCTAAGCTGGGGAGCTTGAAGAGACGGGCAAAGACGAACTTTGGGGACTAGAAGGTGATTCTTATCTTCGAATACTGTTCTACGGAGTCCTTCTGAATACATATATATCAGAAGTCATCCTTTGCTTTTTTTGTACTCTCCTTTTTGATCACTCGTTTCAATGCAATTTATTATTTACCACTCTAATACCCGGTCTCCATTTATCACTTATCGCGTTTGTATAGATCTCAATCCTAGTTCGATGACAGCTTGTCCGACCTGCATGCATGGAGCATCGCATCCCGCGACAATATAATTGCTTATTCTTCGGGATTTCCTGTGCAGGCCTGGTTGGGAACTTCGCACGCCTAACTGGCCATTCGTTCATGGCGGCCACAACGCTGCTTTTTCAACCCAGTTCTTGCGCACAACCGTCTCCCTTTCCCCTGTCTGGAATCAATCGGCCGATTCATCGACCCCAGTGGCGCCTCCATGGTTGAATCACTCCGTACTAGCTTGCTAAAAAGCGAGGAAAATAAAACCATCCAACGTTGAACATCAAACGCCAAACGGCGGATGAGACGGCGCGAGAACGTTCCAAGAGCTGATGGGCGCTGCAAGGCCAAACAGAAAAGCCTGCTGCCGATCACCGCTAGCAGTTTCTTCCTTGGTTTCTCCTCGGCGATGCACCTGCGCAGCTCTTCTTCAAAACTACTTGGACACCATGGGATAATCTCTTCTCTTGCCGAAGCCTTTTGCCGGGATGCGGATGTCCGCTGGTTGGAAGGATGTTTCATTGCTTTCATGCGGGACATGCAGGGATAGCGAACACCGTGAGAACAGTCACAGCGATTTTTTATGTGGCCAGACAAACAAGCATTGCAAGGCAAACTGGACTGATGGGGCCGCCAGCGGGCCAGGGCTGGCCCGCTAATGCTGATATATCGGATCTTATACGGAGCAACTGCATGCAAAGTATATATATGTATAGCTCTGCTGCTGACGGCCCCTAGTTTTGCCTATGGCAAAGCTCTCAAATACCTGCATGAACTGCTACACGCAATCGTGCGAACAATGGGCTGCGATATCAAGAATCCGGTGGTCCAGGACCAGGCTGAGGCCGCACTCCCCTTACCACCATCAGGAGGAGTGGCCGAGCCAGATACAGAGACAGACACGGAAGTGAAGCAGGAAAAAGACAGAGGGAATGTTGATACGGAAACGTATCCAGAGGGAGGCCTCAAGGCGTGGCTTAACATGCTGGGAGCATTCTGCGCCATGGCCTGTACCTTTGGCTGGATCAGTACGTTTGGGTTAGTTAGCCAACGCAAGCCGATTGGTACGGAGCTCAGGTCAAGAGGCTAACAGGACCATATAGAGTCTTCCAGGCATACTACCATACACATCTGCTCAAAGAAAACACCCATTCCCAGATAGCCTGGATAGGTGGATTGCAGGCCTTTTTTATCTGCACCACGGGACTAATATCAGGTCCACTGGTTGATAGATACGGTCTCAAAGTGAGTGATATATCTCTACATCTGCTTACTTTCTATCAACGTCTATGGCAAAAGACAAATGCTAACGCTGAGGTGACTAGCCTATACTGGTCCCCTTCTCGCTCCTGGCTCTTCTTTCTGTGATGCTCACATCCATCTGCAAAGAATACTACCAATTCATCCTCACGCAAGGCGTACTAGGCGGGTTTAGCGTGGGGATGCTTTATACTCCCTCAATCTCGATTATGGGCCACTACTTCCACCGCCGACGCGATTTAGCCATCGCCGTAGCCTCGGCCGGCTCGCCCCTGGGTGGAGTAATCTTCCCCATCGCCCTGCTTCAGATGCTGGAACACTCCCGTATCGGGTTCGGCTGGGCCGTGCGGGGAGTCGGACTGATATTTCTGTTCTTCCTGTGCATTGCATGCGCTACACTGACGCCCCGAGTGACACCACGGCGAGGTCCTCACTTCCTCTCCGCCGCGTTCAAGGACCCCGTGTATGTGTCGCAGCTGGTCGGCTACTGCTTGGTGTTCTGGGGCATATACACTCCCTTTTTCTTCCTGCCGTCGTTCGCCATCCGGCATAGCGTCAGCGTCGATTGGGCCTTTTACATCTTGCCCATTTACAACACCGGTTCGTTTGTGGGGCGCATCATATGCGGCCGTCTAACCACCATCTGCGGTAGGTTTAACACCTTGCTAGCAGCCATACTAGTCTCGGCCGTGTTAATGTTTTGCTGGCTGGCCGCGACCTCGCTGGCGGGCATAATTGTGTTTGCGGTGGTATTCGGCTTTTCGTCTGGTGCTATTATCGGCCTCTTCCCTGCTGCAGTGGCCGTTACTGCACCACAAGCAAACCAGATTGGAACGTACCTGGGGATGACGATGGGGGTGCTCGGACTTTTCTGTTTGACCAGTTCACCCATGATGGGCGCCATCGTGACTCGGTCTGGCGGCCGGTATGACGAGGCGATCATTTTTAGTGCAGTCCTTATTGTTGTGGGAGGGAGCTTGATTGTGTTTGCTAGGGTGAAGCACTCCGGCTGGAAACTGGTTGCTTGATAGAAGAGAGGCCGTACATACTTCGGCGTTGATAACGTTTAGCATGTTTCATTTGGTGCATGGCATGGAGTTAAAGAATATGGGTTTTTATTCTGCATGTGCTGCACGCTGCACGCTGCATACTGCACGGTGTAAACAATAGTTGCGCAATGCAGGCAGGCAGTCAGGCAGGCAGGAGAAAAGGGACAGGGAAAAAAAAAATACAATGCAAGGCAGAGTAGACATCAAATTTATGTTAAGTAAGTCATTCATGATATAGACCTGGAAGCAAGCAGGTAAAGCATCCAAGCATTTCCAAATATCCGAGCAAACGTGTAGCCGCCCAATGACCCGGTCAAGTTCATTACCCATGCAAGGAGGGAGGAAACGTGAGAAGTAAGCGGTAGACAGCCCATCAGCATGTCAATGAAGAGAAGAAGAAGAAGAGAAAAAAAGATATACATCAAAACATCGTCCGGACCCAGGGATATAACCAAACATATCGACAAAAAACGGGGGTAAACTTGGCAGTTTAAATGAAGAAATGAATAGAAAAAAAAAATAAGGAAAATCCAACTGCAAATGGAAAAGTAACGTAAATTATACATCTCTCCAAGAATTCTCCACCGGCTTCCTTCCAGCCATCAACAGACTTGGAGTTTGCTGTGGCTGTGGCGTCGACTGCTCTGTGTTCAGTGGCTGGTCTGCACTACCCGACCCCGATCCCGACCAGGGCGGAGGAGGCGTTGATGTACTTGGAGAATAGGCAGTGTATGTCCTCTGCTGCTGGGCGGGGGAGAAAGATCTCGAGGAAGTCGGGTAGGGCAAGCCAGTGCGGTCCGGACTATGGCTGTATGTGTTTACAGGCGATAGTGGCGGTCTCGGCGAGGGCGTGGCTCTGGTGCGCTGGACGGGAGAGCGGGTGAAGCTGCGACTGCTTCCGTTTGGGTGAGTGTAGCCGTAGACATCATCTGCTGCTACAGCGGGCGGGGCAGGAGTAGGCCTGCCGATGGTCGAGGGGGACTGAGTGTTGTATCGTGGTGGGGTGTATATCTGGCCTGAGGTCTGCTGATCCGGGTACTGCTGCTGCTGGTGTTGCAGTTGAGAGGCAGAGTCAAGGTTGTATGCGTTTGATAGCGGTGTAGGTGCGCAGCCGGGCGAATGTGCGATGCCGATGGCAGTGGGAGGGATGGATGGGCTGGTGCCTCTGTATCCTCCGCCCATGTTCATGTTGTTCATGTTCATGGCCGAAGGGTGACGGCTGTGGTCGTGGTCTGGCGGGTAGATGGGCGAGACGGGCTGCGAGTGGTGGTAGTATGCGGAGCCGTGGCTGGCACCCGGGTCATCGACTACGCTGTGACCCGTGACCGGGTTGAGATGGGACATTTCCATCTCCTCGTTGTGGTGGGAGGTGTCCTCCACCCGTCTGGTGGTGGCTTCTTTCCAGGTGGGCATGTTGGGCAGCGCATCTTCGTTGATTCTGGTCGTTGTTGTCGGCACTGTGGGCGCGGGACGAGAGCCCAGGGTATCGAACTGTGCGTAGCTGGGGGTTGTGCTTGCGGCCTGGTGGTGGTTGTAGACTGGCGGCGTGGGACGCTGGTAGCCCGAGTAGTCGTCTGCGAACTTGGACCGGCCGTCGTAGGAGGGTGCAGGCGGCGGTTTGCGAGAGGAAGACGGACAGCAGCACGAGCAGCATTCGCAGCATCCCTTGCAGCAGGTGTAGCCGCAGCAGAGGCAGCCTACGAGACACCAGACGACGCTGAGCAGGATGAGGCCGCCGACGATGATTCCAACAATCGCAGGCCACCTACACAACCAATTAGCACTGAAGTAACGCAATATAACATGGATCTAGCTGTGTAAGAGGAGAGAGACCGACTTGCAGTAGGCTTTCGACATGCACTTGTCCCAGGAGGAGAATGTGTCCTTGACGTCCGCGGTGATGCCTCGCGGCGCCAGCTGGTGCCACGGCGTGAACTCGAGCGGATCCATGGCGATATCAATGGCTTAACCTCCTTATCTGTCGCCGTCTATCGATTGATCTATAGTGCGAGTCCGTTGACGTGAACTGACTGGCTATCTTCTTATCGAGGTGGATGTTGGTCTATCGTGCGGTCTATAGCGAGGGGCGGACAAGTCGAGGCTGGACTGAGAGACGCAACATGGGCCCAGCGAGACCTGACGATTGGTTATTCTGGGAGTAAATCGGACGGCGATTCACGCTGGCTTGACCTGGCGAGCAGAAAAGTGACGGATGGTGAGGTCGAAGAGGGTGTAGGGCGTCGTAGATAGCGCTGCGATGGTGTCGTTAACTGCTCGCAGTCAAGAAGGACGACGCAAGCAACAGACGGCGAGGGAACAGGACAAGCAGCGAGCACATGAACGAGCGACTGTCCAGTCCACTCTTCGAGATCGTAAAGAGGTTGAAGAAGACGAAGAGCAAGAGAGTAAACGAGTAAAGAGTAAGATAAGAGTAAGAAAGTCGGGCGCAAGCTCGAGATGTTTAAACTAACGAGTTTTCCTGCGCTAAACGAGCCAAGGTCGAGTTCCGTGAGTTAAAAAAGGATAAAACGAGGACGGTTAAGCCTTGTTTCTACTGGTTTTTTCTTTGCGGCCGAACTTTCTTACGACGACGAGGAGCTTGCGCCACGATGGGCCGCGAGGTAGTGAGAGGTTGTCTTTGGACGACGATGGCATTAGGATTACAGACACAGATAGACATGGTACAGCGTGAGACGTAAGTAATAAGCACAGAAGAAGAGTACAAGACATAAGCGAGAGAAAAGGAAGACATAAGAGGAAAAACAGGCTAGGGATCAGCCTTTCTGGCCGGGGTAGTTCTGGCCGTAGGCATGGGGAGGCTGCTGCAGCTCTACGCCGGTCTGCTGGGGCGCGTAGTAGTCCTGGGCAGCTCCGTACTGCGGCGGCGGGCTAGAGACGCCGTCCTGGTGCTGCTGGGCATACGGCTGGGGAGGATACTGCTGCGGCGGAGGGTACTGCTGCTGGTGCTGGCCCTGGGGATACTGCTGAGGGTACTGCTGGGGGTACTGCTGGTGCTGGTACTGCGGCTGGCCCTGCTGGCCCATGCCGGCCCATCCAGTACCCCGGAAAGGCTGCAGGCCCTGGCGACGGCGACGGCGAGCAGAGATGCATCTACACCAATTAGTATATATAAACATAAAGATATAAAAGAAGACAGAGAAGACTCACGCAAAGAGGAGGAAGACGAAAAAGGCGCCGACGACGAGGGCGGCGAGGACGACCCAGCGGCCCCAGCGGTTCCAGGGCGTGTCGTAGTAGTAGCCGTCGCTGTAGCTGTCATGCAGTCAGTCTCTATCTCTTACGTATATACATATATATACACATATAAATATATGGAGTGGTTGTATATGGAGCGGGCGACTTACTAGTATCTCTCTGCGATGACGCCCATCTTGGTCGCTTTGGCCGAGGGACGCTCTGACTCCGGCTCCTGCTGCTGCCTGATCCTGGCTCTGGTCCTGACCGTGACTCTTTACTCCGTCGAGCCCGTCTGTCTTGCGATAGAAATGGAGATTAAAGAGTATTTCTTTTATTCTTTTTATCTTCTTCTTCTTCTTCTTCTTGAAGTCGAAGGTCAAAAAATCACAAAAAACCCGAAAAAGGAAGCAGAGTTGATGGTCTTGGCGTCACGTGAGACGGAGTTGATGCGACGAAAGTTGGCGAAGTTGATGAAGTAGAAGATGAGGTTGATAGTAGAATTTGCTAGAGTTGATAGAGTAGAAGATGATAGAGTAGAAGAAGTATCTCTTTAAAGGACGAGAGAGAGAAGAGAGAAGAACAAGAGAAACAAGAAGAAGAAGAAGAAGGAAGAAGAAAAGCTGCGCCCTGCGACGATGACTAAGGCTGAGCCACGCTTAGTAAAATGTCACGTGAATTATGACGTAATCAAGAACCTCGAGAAGAAAGAAAAAGAGAAAGAGAAAGAGAAACAGGGGAAGAGACAGTAAAGAAGAGAGTAGAAGTAAGAGAGGAAGAGGAAGAACATCTTTGATTCAGTCGAGTTTATTCCTGCCTTGGTCTCCCACAGAACATTAAGGAAAGCATTCTTTCTCCGCTGGAAGCTTGAAATTTTGATGTTCATTGTGTACGGAGTAGGTGAAGTGTTGTATCTCACATAGATCTTTGGTTGAGAAGAGCCTCAAAGCCCTTTCTAAGAAAAGCAAGCATGTCCTGTTCCAATTTACCCTCTGCTAGATCGCCAGCTATATCGAATATCTCCAGGTCCCCATATTGGTTATTGGTACGATCCGAAGAGTCTGCTTGTGCCAATTCAACGATCTTCTCGACAAACTTGGTAAGAATATCAAACCTGCATATAGAGTCCTCGGCTGCAATAAGCAGGTTCTCGACAAATAGGGATTTTTCTGTCGTGGATGACCCTTGAGATGCAGGGGTATTATAAGATTCAACCGAGTCCCCTTGTAGAGACAGATACCGCTGCATAGCGTCATTGTACTCTTTGCGGTGCAAGGCAAGGGTACCTGGAGAGTCCTCCCATAAGGTATCTTGTTCGATGCCCTGCTCCATTTCCTCATTCCATGCGTACATCGCTGGGTCCCAGTCTCGAGTGAGCCAGGACGGGTATTTCTCGTTCCCCAGAAAACGAGGAACGGCGGCCACACCGTCCCAATCAATCAAGCCCTGCAGGCTCCCATCCTCAGATACAAGAACATTCTGCATATTCAAGTCCGGATGTGTAAGAACGAACTTTGGGTCTGGAGGTGCCGGAATCCATCGTAGAAGAATCTCAAGAAATCTCCGCAACCCCCTGTGCAGATTGTTCTCCGGCTCCTTTGCTCGGTCAAGTGAGAGAAGATAGAAATTCTGTGGGTCTGTGAAGGGGCCTGCTTCGAAATATAGCGCCGGTTCAGTGTCGTCATCGTCGTCGTCGTCGTCATCGCCTTGCCCGAGCCGCTCGAGCATTGCCTGATGATCAACAAATCTCGATGGCCCGGGAGTGGGTTTCCCGTCCATATCAAACATCAAGGCTCCCCCCGTCGGGAACGAGAACGAGCTCAGTTCCGCCATCGCTCGAGCAATATCCTCGAGAGTTCTCGTGCGGCGCAACATCCGCCCCTCCCTTGAGAGTTTCATGTCAAACCAGCAATCATACAGAGATGTTCCCTGGATGAAGCTCATGAGGATGAAAGGAACACCAAGTTCGTTGCCCACTGTTGCATCAAATGTGAAGACTTCAGGAACCGGGACTGAGGTTTCGCGCCGGATAAGTCTCATCGTCAACGCTTCAGATTGAAGCGCTGATGAGGCGGACGCATTGAAATGTTCAGATATCCCGCAGGCGGGAATCTTCAGGATCCAACGCAAGCCATCTTGAAATCGAATTGGAAATAAGGCATGGTAGGAACCAAACAGTGGAGGTTCAATATCTATCGGCTCAATGAGTGCTTCTTGATTTTCCACACAGTCTGTTGATGCTTTTCGGACTCGGGCACAAAAGGCCGGGAGAGACTCGAGATTCAAAGCAGATATAACCGGAGAAAAGATTGCCGCATCATTGCTTTCAGCGGAACCAGGCTGAGCCTTGATAGGGGGACAGCGAGACATGAGAAAAGATAACTAAAAGATACATAACTCCCCTGCTGCTCTCCCTTATGCGCGTATATAAGGCGCAAGGCCAGGGGTTGATGCATCTCTTGCCTGGTTGCCTGCAGCGAGTCAGGGACAGGCCTCCTCTCCGTCTTCTCCAGGCCCAGGGCTCCCTCGTCTGTCCCGCGCCTTATCCGCTCCTCTGTCTACTCCATCAACTTCATCTGTCTACTCTCTCCTATTCACTACTCCGTGCTTCTTCTCTCTGTCTTTCTCTTATAAGTGTTCAATTGTATTCAAGTCATGACTAAGCAAATACTCCACTCCCATTGGCCAGTTCACCATGCAAAGCCAACTCAGCATAAGAAGAAGCAGAAGAAGAAACGAAGCAAGTAGTTAGCAAAGACGAAGACGAAGATGACGAAGAAGAAGGGAAAGGGACTGTAGACACTGCATTAAGGACGAAGATAGTATTACACACTGCATGCTCCGAAAGACAAGACAACAACCATAGCCAAAGAGAGGAAGAAAGGGAAAAAAGGAAGAAGGAAAGAAAGAAGAAACACGACAGGCTCAACGACTCGACCGCGCGATGAGCCACCGCAGCACAGCGTCGAGGTTGGTCTCTTCCTTTGCGCTGATGCCGTAGCAGCTCACCTCGCGCTTCGTGATACTCTTCAGCTCCATCGCCTCGATCAGCTCGTCGACCGTCAGCACGTCGGGCAGGTCGGACTTGTTGCCCAGCACCAGCAGCGGGATCCCCTCGAGCGTCGGTTTGCTCACCAGGTCGTGCAGCTCGTCCGTCGACGCGGCCAGGCTGGCTCTGTCCGCTGCGTCCACGATGTATCTAGCGCCCGAGTTAGCTTCTCTCTTCTTTGCTCTCCTTCTCCTGTGCAAAGGATAACATACACGATGGCGTTGACTCCACGGCAGTACCGCTCCCACATCGGCCGGAAGCGAGGTTGGCCTCCCAGATCCCAGCTGCAAGCCTGAGTCAGTCCATGTCATGCGCAATATATGGAGTACCTTTACTACAGGTTCATGCACTTACCATTTCAGCGTGACATGGCCCTTCTGCACTCGTTTCGTGTTGAAGCCGATAGTGGGTATAGAGCTGTCAAGAATGGTCACAAGTGGCAGTGGTCAGTAAACACACGATATTCGCCACCGTCTCTACACCAGGAAACTCGACTAAACTACTCACTCGACTGTGAACTCGCCGCCCTACAACCACAAAGTCAGCATTTTCTCTTTCTCTCTCTCCCGCTCTCTCTAGCGTTATCTTGTGGTTCATGTCAGTCAAGCTTACCGCCAGCACTCGCAGAAGAGACGACTTCCCGGCGTTCTGCAAGCCTACCATCGTCACGTCCATCTCCGTCGCCCTGCCATCGCCAGTCAGTTCCCACCGCCTCTTCCTCTCTCTTTATCCCAGGGCGCCAAAACGTACCAGAACATCCTCAGCAGCCAGTCATAAATACTCCGGAAGAAGCCCTGCATCATGACGGCGGCCGCAGTTGCCCGTACACCGCAACACACACTCGTACTCAACACACTCGCTCTCGACTTCCACCCTCACACACACACGCACACTCTCTTTCTCTCTCCCTCGCACACAACACCAGCCTTGAAGCTAGTAGGCTAAGCAACTAGTTTACTAGTCTAGCCGAGGCCGATCCGAAGGCGAACAACACTGGAGGACTTAAAATAAAGAAGTAAAGAGACAGGCAGTCAAAATAAACGCAGCTTGGAGCCGTTAGACCGGATAAGTGTACGCCGTAGATGGAGATCCCCCGGGCCCGGGCTGATCGAGCTGTCGACCAGATGAGCTGTCCTGTAGTCCTCTGCCGTAATTAAATAGATAGATAGTACTCCGTAGTTAGATATGTCGAGATCCAGGAAGAAGAAGAGGACGAAGAAGAAGAAGAAGGCCGCCAGGTAAGAAGAGAGAAGACGAAAGGAAAAAGAAAAAACAGTCCCAAATAATAGATTGATAGTTAACTAGTTAGTTGATGTATTTCATCTCATCGAAGGAGAGAGAATAAGTAAATCCACGCGGAATAGGTGTGATGTAGTTGAAATATATTTCGTTAATGGCTGAGGTGTATGTAGCCTTCGACCAGGCTGGTAACTAGTTAGCTAGTCCAGGCTGATATCGGCCCCCAGAGACACAGACGAGCCGGAGTAGTTATGCAACCTGTCAGCCAGCCTGCCGATGGGTGGTTAATAGTCAGTTACTTATTTATCTTCTGTGATACTCGCAAGTTGTCAGGAAGGTGAGTTATGAGGTAATAGACGCAGCGTTAGCCGGTTACCGACTTAGCCGCGCAGCTCTGACCACTCGACGACGTCAGCGCTTCCAGGTCTAAACATCTGCTTATTATCCTACGGTAAATGAACTACATAAAAATGTAAAAAAAAGGGTGAATGGATAACATCTTCTTCTGGCGATCCCTTGGCTAGATCTCGGCTGGTATCATGCACCTCGAGTCGCGATGGGAACGTCGACTGCCTTGCATTGCATGTGCATAGACAGATATACACTGCGGTAACTATTGGTTCTAATTAGGGTCTTGCTCAGCGGCATCTTGTCCCTCAGCAACGCCGTACTTGATCTTCATCAGATGATGGATGGTATCCGCCAGTTTCTCAATAATCCCAGCCTTGCTGATCTCAACCAGAGTGACTTCAAGGCCAAGGTGCCGTCTGATCCAGTTGCGCATCTCAATCGCCATGAGAGAATCAATGTGAATGCCAGCCACCTCATCATCCTCCATGTCCTGCGTATGCGGCAAGTTCTGTCTTACCATGCTCGCTAGAATTGCCTGGATCCGCACCTTGCATTCGTCTGTACTCAGGTAGGATGCGCTCTGTCCGATATTCGACAGTAGAAGCTTGACGTCATTGTTCGCTGCCTCGTTCCCTTCGCCACTGTATTTACCCTCCAGGTTCGAGTAGAGTGCGAACCGTGCGTCTTTGGGCCATAGTGGGCGTACACCCATCTCGGAGAGCGGTTTCGTATTGCCTAGACCGATGATGCAGGAACTAGATGTCATGCTGTCTGCGGCAGGAGGGTTGCGACACTGGTGGATGGCCAGTCGTACTCCTTCAATTAGCTCGTACTCATACACCAGCCGGAGTGAGGCCGATCGAGCATTCCGTAGAGCAGTATCATTGTCGCTCGCCATGCCAATCTCATCGACTATGCCCAGCTCTAGGACGGATGCAGGAAGGCCCAGCTGCCGCCGATATTGCGTGAAACTGCTAAGAAATCCGTTAGCGGCCGCATAATTGGCCTGTCCAACATTGCCACAGACGCCGGCCACCGAGCCGAACATCACGAAGAAGTCTAGGTTCTTCTCATTCTCCAGCGCACTGTGCAAGTTCCAGGTCCCCTGAACCTTGGTCTCGAGACATGTCGTCCAGTCCTCATAGCTCATCTTATTGAAAGTGCGGTCCTAAGCCAGTCAGCAGCTCTCCCTTAACTGACTTACTTGTTGATTTAATGAGACATACCTTGAGAACTGTGGAAAGTTGGAGAACACCAGCAAGTGGCTTGGGACACTGAGAAATGGCGGATCTCACATCCGCGATATCAAGGACACTGCCTGCCACACACAGCGTATGACAGCCTTGGTCTTTCAGCTCTTGCATGAAGGCTTGATCCTTCTCTGTTTGCCCAGCTGTTCGTGATAAATACACCAAGTGACGAGCTCCTTGCTCAACCATCCAAGATGATATCGAACGTCCCAAGCCACCTAGGCCACCAACCAAAAGGTAAGAGACCTCTGGCGAAAACCGGACCGGGGCTTTCACTCCTGTCAGTGGGATAGCCGAACGGTCTTGGGGAATCCGGATCACAATTTTACCCATATGGGTTCCTTGTTGCATATAGCGGAATGCCTCTACGATATCCGTAGCATCATAGACCTTAATTGGCCGGATAGGCTTAATGCTTTCCTGGTTATACCACCACAAGAACTGGTCCGTCATGCTTTTATCTTGGTTAGCTATGATGGTCCATCGGTAGAGTCAAGATGTTCCCTCACTTACCGTTTCCAAGTTTTAATGCCCGCGTTTATCCAGCGACCCAGATCAAATCCTATGAATGAGCGGTTTTCAATCATCGGCGCCAGATCCAGGCGTCCGTTGCCCAAAAAGTCTCGTTTTCCAAGCTCAACCATCTTGCCAAAGGGTGCGACACACCGCCAGGAAGCATGCAGCAGCTTTCCTGTTAGAGAGTTTAGAACAACGTCAACGCCCCTGCCATCCGTCTCTTTCATAATACATGGAAGGAAATCCGCGTTTCTAGAATTGAATATACGATGGCGTGGGATGCCAAACTCATCCATGAGGTACTGGACCTTCTCCTCACTCCCGACCGTGACGAATACCTAGAATATGAATACAATTAGAAAGTTGCATGCAACGCAATTAGTGTTTTGGGATTGAACATAGGTACACACCTCTGCACCCAACACTTTGCAAACCTGAATTGCAGACAGGCCAACTCCACCGCAGGCGGAGTGTATGAGTACCGACTAATATTGGTTAGCATATATAATGGCACATTCAAATCTTGCTTCTTACCTCGCCTTTCTTGACTCGAGCAAGCCAGTCTAAACAGAGTATGGACGTGAAATACACGCAGGGCATTGTCGAAGCATCCTCTAATGTCAGACCTTCTGGAACGGGAACGATCAAATCTGCTGATCGCACAATCTGAGTGCGAAAGGACCTAATATCTATAACAATGACTTTGTCCCCAGGTTTGAAGTCGACAACTCCAGGTGCCACGCGCCGAACAATCCCGCTGCCCTCTATACCAAATTCGTCAGGATCTCCAAAAAGCCCGACGGCGACCATGATGTCCTACAATTCGAGTCAGTAAGCCGTACCAAAACCAAAAACACATAGGAGAAGTTCATTACGTACCCTGAAGTTTAACCCAACATAATGAATATCAATCTCTACATCATTCCCCGTCAGCTCTTTAGGCCCATCGAAGGGTTGCCAGTAGAGTGAATCTATTGATCCAACAGCTTTCATTGAGAGCTTTCTTGGTGTTTCCCCTAGGGATTGGATCGGCATTTGACTCTGAGGTGAAATCCAGTGGCACCGGCCAGTATGTATAGTTCCATGATGGAAGGCGAATTCATACTCAGGGTCAAGTGCAGAGAGCGCACGGGATTGTTCAATCTTGCTAAGAACTTTTACCAACCCATTTACGGCTTCGCCGTTGAATGTATCTGTCTCAAAGGTGGAGATGTCCAGACCGTTCTCACCCCTTAGCGTCCGGGCAAACCCAAAAATCAGGCTGAAACGGGGGTCGTTGCAGGTAAGCTGGTTTGCGCTTGTCACCCATATCAGCCTAGATTTACCAATCTGAGACATATATAAGTGAAGAGCAGCGTATTTCTCCTCAGACAGATCATAAAGGTAAGGCCCGTCCAAATCCAGCAATGAAATAATACACTGGCTTGTTGGAGGTGGGAGGTCCAATCTGCCCCAATGTATTTGGTGTCCTGCTTCTCCAAGGGTATCGGCAACTTCTTTGGCCCAGGGACCGGGAGATTCTCCCACTAACAAAGTAACGTCGGTCAGGGGGGCAGGAGCGGCTTTTACACTCGACAGGACCGAAAAGGATGTCTGATGGGGAGTATCCAAGTCATAGCTGATGGCTTCTGCTCCAGAAAATCCAGCCGCATGAAATTCCTGTTCCCATTGGGCTGGGGACAGGCATGGCTGTTCAAGCCTACCGTCTTCACTGGATTGCCAGCTCGGAAGTAGCCCCTATTTCCCTGTTAGTTAACTATCCAACGTGGATCACCACATGCCTTTACATACCATGATATAGGTTGTGGATAATACTCCTGTTTTTGGATCATTAGCAAGACAAGAACAAATCTGACTACTGCTGATTATGAATACACATACCCGGCTGCATCTCTTGAAACAGAACTCTGCCACCACTGGCAAGCAGCTTGTGTATATTCTTGAGAGGCTCTTGAACTTGGGGCGTAGAATTAAGAGCCTAGATAGCCACAATTAGCTGATTTCCTGTTGACATCAACAGAGATACTGACGTTTGAAGCAATAACCAAGTCAAAGCTATGAAGCTTGAAGCCCTGCTCCGAGGGATCCTTGGCTATATCAAGTACTTTGTGCTCAACCCCATCGGTAACCACTTCTTTGGCTGCCTGTATGATACTATCCGATGAATCTGTGAACATGTAATGCGAAAACATCCGGGACCCTTCAGGCGACCGTAGATGCTTCAACACGACCTGAGTAGCGTGTCCTCTCCCTCCACCAATTTCAAGTACCCGCATGGACGGGTTAGAATGGGCAAGTGATGTTAAAAAGGGGCTCCAGTCGCAGTGTGATTGAATAAATCCCCGGTATCTCTCCAAGTAGTCGGTAGTTTCTTTCGATAGGTCTTTTTCCTCGATTAACCTTTCACAATTCTCATATATGTATTGCATACATTCAAATGGAACCGAGTGATCCTCCTCCGATGCGGTGTACCGAGATGCTAACGTCTTGATGCGCTCCTTGCGGCATTCTGAACTCATCTGGGTCCATTCATGGGCTTCAAGAGGCAAAGTCTCAGGTAGCTGGCGAAGACTTGAAGCTTTGGAGACGACCCAGTTCTTCCAGCAGTTTAGGAACGAGTCTGTCGGCTTGATACTAGCAAGTTTATCCGCAGTCTCCAAAATATAAAGGACGCTGAGTTGTTCTATGTCGCCAGCCATTGCACGATATGATTCCGGGGCTGATAGAGTAGGAAGTAACACTTGCGAAGGTATAAAATCGATGTCTGGAGCCCACCGTATCTGGGAGCACAGCGATGTCTCGGACCCTCCAGCAAAATTCCCAAATCCTGCCACTGGAAAGCCGATGCAGTCATCGAAAGTAAGAGCAAGTTCGTCACCCTCCATCATTGTGGCATTTCCAACCAGAACTCCATTGTTATTATGGGTGTACACCGTTTCAATACTAAGTTCTGATGAGCTTCCTCGTACATAAATCTTTCCTAAGGATGCTGGAACTAGGATATATAGAAGACGGGGTAAACCCTTGGACACATTGATGGGGAACAACTGTAGAACATGATCCATCGTGGCTGGATGAAGAGCATACCGGCTAACGGGTTTTTCCTGAAGCTCAGTAACCTTTGCAGAGGCTCTGTTTTCAGTCAGATGGACAGATATATCCTTGAAGCGCCTGAAACGGGGCCCGTAGTTAAATCCAGCCCTGTCTATCATTTTGTAGCATAGGGCAGCATCAACGGCTCGGTTATATGTCGGAATTTTATGTCCTTTGCGAGGATTGTCAGGGCCAGCCTTCACCTCTCCTTGACAGTGTTTCGTCCACTCAGCCCCATCATGCGACATTATTGTAAACGAGTACCACTCAGAATCAACAAGATCTGTGATTTTGGAAGGCTTAAAGGCAGTGATTACTTCAGTTTCTCGTTCACGTCTCAACACCATCGGAGATTTGATGAGAAGATTCCGTATAGTATAGTCTTCCGCATCGGGATCTGGAAAGATTTGGCGAATGGCCTCTCCAGCCATTGAAATATAACCTGTAGCTGGGAATATAATATCGCCTTGGAGGTTATGCTCGATAAGCCATGGTACATCGTCTAACCGCAATACGTTTCTCCACAACGGCTCAATACCTGAAGCCTCAACTGCCAGACTGCCGAGAAGTTCATGATGAGGGTAGGCGCGAAATCTCCATTCATTTGTCAGGCGGCTAGCATACCAGAACTTCTGGTCGTGATCCCATGGATATGGAGGAAGGTTGCCCAGTGTGTTGCCTTTTCCATTCACAGATGCTAGATCAACAGACACTCCGCAAACATGAATAGATCCAGCTGCGGCCAGAAGTTGGGGCCGAGAATCGGTTTCATTCCGGTCAAGCGTAGGAACATATACAGGAGGAGATTTGAGACCGGCAGCCTGGAAAATCTGGCGGAGAGGGCCCGAAAGAGCGCCATGGGGTCCAATTTCGAGAAAAGCAGTTTTCCGTGACGCTTGGAGGATACTTTGGACCGCACCGGAGAATAGCACAGGAGATTCCAGGTTACTGCGCCAGTAGGCAGCGTCAAGTTCATGAGGCCGAGTAATGCTTTTAGAGGCAACAGTAGAGAACAGAGGCAGCATTTTCTCATTGTGCCTGATAAACGGGGAGATTGACGATTCATAGGATGGCCCAAGTTCACGCATGTGGTCTAGGCTAGTCAGCAGGTGGTATGCATATATTTGATAGGAATCGACCTACGAGAGTGATAAGCAACGGACACACGAAGCCGTCTGCAAAATGCATCTGGTAGATCTTTCTTAATCGATGCCATTACATTCTCAAGAGTAGCCGCTTCTCCTGACAGTGTCACACTCTGAGGGCTGTTTTCACAGGCGATAACAACGCCGTCTTCCAAGTATCGAGTGACCTTGTCTCTTCCTAGGCCAATGGCTGCCATGGCGCCCTTCCTTTTCAATTCCTTTGTCGCCTTGCCTCGACAGTATGCTATAATTATAGCTGATTCAGAGGTGATAGCACCAGCGGCATATGCAGCTGTGATTTCTCCGCTAGAATGCCCGACGACGGACGACGGTCTGATACCCCATCTGTTGAAGATGTTCACCAGGGCAATTTGGAGGGCAGTACACAAAGGCTGCGAGAACTCTGCCTCATTGACCCGGCTGTCATCGCCCGTTTTACTAAGTTCCTCTAAAGAATAAGTTAGTACATACGCGAGCGTTGGCTATATGGTTCTGTTACCTTCCAGGGTCCAGTTGGGGCCATTTGGTAAATCTTGGAGGGCCTTATCCAATGCCTGAACATCTTTCCTGGCATCCGGAAAAGAGTTCAGTAAATCTTGTCCCATGCCTGACCATTGAGCACCTTGACCAGTAAAGACAAAAGTCAGATCAGGGGACTTATCCTGGCCAGTGTGGAAACCAGCAGGGCTAACAGGTTGGCCCGGTTGTGCTATGGTAAAGGCGCGGTGCGGTAAATGCTCTCGGCGTACTCCAAGTGTGTAAGCCAAGTCGTGTAGCTTTGATACACCTTCATTCAGGTAGTCAGCAGTTGCCTGAATTCGCTCTTTCAGCTTGTTCGCATTCTTTGCGGATACAGTTAGGAGGCGAGGTCCATCGCATTGTACAGGACTTGACTTTGCAGCAATGCCGCAAAACGAAGCTGTTGATTCCAGAATAGTGTGAGCATTGGCGCCGCCGACGCCGAAACTGTTAACACTAACTCTTTTGCTGCGGTTCTCTGGCCAGGGCAAAGCCTCCACTGGCACCTGAAGATTTCCCTCTTTGAATGGGATCCTGGGGTTTGGAGTTTCAAAGAAGACATTGGGTGGGATTATATCATGTTCAAGGGCCATCACCCCCTTGATAACACTCGAAATTCCTGAAGCACCTTCTCCATGTCCAATATTTGGTTTTATCTATAGCCGTTCAGTATCTCATATTATTCCGGTTCCAGGAAGGGCTTTGACTTACTCCAGTTATTACAACTCCTTTTCCTTCGAAAACTTTGGCAACGACGGATACTTCTGCGGTATCTCCAGCAACTGTACCAGTCCCATGACATTCGAAACACCCTGTTTGACTGATATCACTGATCCCAGCACTTTCATAGGCTCTGCGGATAAGAGCCTCTTGGGATTCGGACCCAGGAGTAGTGATAGTGGGTGTTCTACCATCGAAGTTGAGTGAAGTGGAACGTATTATACCTCTAATAGGATCGTTGTTTCGGAGTGCATCATCCAGACGTTTGATGTACAGGGCATTTATTGCTTCAGCTCGACCATACCCATCCGCTCCTGCATCGAAGGTTCTACATATCCCGGTTGGAGACATAACAGTATTATCGGACATTGTGGCCGTCATAGTGGGCGCGAAAATTAAACTCGTGCCTCCAACGATAGCTGAGGAGCATTCGCCGGAATAAAGCGCCTGGCAGGCTTCATGCAAGCCAACCAGGGACGCGGAGCATCCAGTTTGTATAGTCATGCTACAGGAATATCAGTACACATATTACTGAAAGGGGTCATGAAAGTATTTATAGAAACAACGCACCTGGGCCCACGAAAATCATACTCCCATGACAGCCTGTTAGACAGAGCGAACTGGCCTGTACCAAGAATATGGAAGCGACTGGTGTATTGAGGATCCTTACTAGCGAGATCCAGCCAATCTTCACCATAAACTCCAACGTAGCAGCCAATGTTTTTGCCTTTCCAGTCAGTTTCACCTGCGCTCTCTAGGCATTCCCAAAAGACTTCCATGAGTTTGCGCTGCTGCGGATCCATCTGTTCAGCCTCTTCTTTAGTGATAGAAAAGAAAGACGCATCGAAGCTGGCAGGGTCCTCATCTAGATAGTATCCATGTCTAGTTTTGACGGTGTGCGTCTTGTTTTCACTGTAGAAGGCATCGATATTGTATCTGCTACCAGGCACTTCACAAACTCCATTTTTTTTCTCAAGCAAGAATTTCCACAGCTCGTCTGGAGACTTCACCCCTCCAGGCACTCTCAGTGCCATTCCTACTATGGCGACTGGGGGGCAGCCTTCATGCTTATAATATTATGAGTTTGAGGTCATCATATTAGTCAAATAGAATACATTACTTACCTTTTTTTCACCATTGGACGTTGGTTTCTGGTTCAATCTCGCATCATTTTCCTGGTGGTTTAGGGCCACTGACCCTGGTGGTTCGATAATCTTAGTGCTGTCGCTTTGAATCGCCATCTTGTCACGGTCGCAAAATACACGTGGTTATTGAAGTCTAGGTAGGAATCTCCAGGTATGGGGTATAGAGGTAACGCAATCAATAAATATGTGTATTCAGAAAATATAAGAGTCAGATCTTTCGATTCTCGAGAGAACTTATACCAGCCCATATCAAGGCTCATACGCCTTGGGATAACTCAACACCAAGTCAGTGATGTGAAACTCAATTTGAGCTTTAACCAAAAAAGTTCTCTTTAGGCGTGATCCCCGGATGATCTTGCATCTGTAGTTATGCCATGTTGGGGGAAAGTATAGGAAGCCCAAGTAAGCCATGCCTCGAGCTACATTCTCGTGGCCAAATTCGTGGTATCAATAGCTAGGACACTTCTGCGGTATTTGCATGGCGTTGAATGTTATCAATAACTTTAAGTGGTTTTATCCACAGAAAAATGCCACTGGCGTTTTTGTGGCGGAGAGCACAGGAGCAAGAGTTACAGATATGCACAAACACCACCTCCAGGTGGATTTTAATTCCGGCTAAGATATTGAAAAGTTTGGTGTCGTTGATTAATAGGCGTAAACTCAGTTAGATTATCACTCTCTTTTGAGATTGTCAGATAGGCGGAATGCAAATGATTAAATGGCCGTATTCAATAAGGTATATGTTTGGATGACGTTATTCAGCACCCCAAAACAGCAAGAATAGGTCAGTAGGCAGGAGCTTTAAAACTGAGAGTTAGACAAACGTGTACTCTATACTCTGCATGGAGTAATCCAGTATAAGTGCATAAAGCCACCGGGCATGTCTGTATGGAATGGTAAATTTGGGAGTACTGCGCTGAATTTGCGTTGAATAAACGTCAAATAACTAGTTAGCTAGTTACTCCAGTTTATTCCACAATAACTCCTTCGTATGGAACTGGAGAAACCGATGCAGGGAAAGAAACGATGTCCGGAAGAAAAAGAAATAACATGTATGCGCAGCACTACGGAGTAGGTAATGTTATAACCCCTGTATCCTTTGGAGAATTATTGGCTGTATATCATCTATGCAGGATTACCAAAGAACTGAGGGGAAGCTGCTGCATCTCCAGGAGCTTGGGCGATTAGCGGTCAAGGCGTTTTAAGGGAGCAGAAGCCATTGAAGCGTCTGCCTAGGTATAAACGCACTCTGTCTAATCCCCAGTCAGTCTCTTATGAGCTTCATTTTATCAATCCTTCGCGTGTTCTCTTTGACTTAGATGGCCAGCCCAAGCCAGCAGACAGGGCATGCTCTTTGGTCCTGGGGTACGGAGTATTTGGGGGCTTAACTCTGCTAGTGTGAAGAGTGCGAGCTTCAACATTCGATTATACGAAACACCTAACTACAGAGGAGACATGAGTCCAAGCTCCTCGGAGGCTCGAATGGCAGGCTGGATAGATCAGCTCAAGGCGTTGCGCCACGCGTTAAGAGATCAGCAAAAGCGGAGGGAGATTCTGCATCAACCCATGATTGGAGAACAGAAAAGCCTGAGCCCAAAAAGCAATTGATTGAATCGAAGACCTTGAGCCTGAGTCAGAAGTAGTACTTGTATACTCCGTATAGGATGAACCTATCGCGAGAACCGGTGGGATCTAATCGTCGTTAGGAGTGTACTGTAAATCGAACTTTTCCCAGCGGGGACTGAAGAACGCCTGTAATATTCGGTACGACTGTTCTGAGCGCTCCGTACTGTGTGAAGGCTTCCAAAGCCTGAATGAGGGCCCCTACCAAGGATTTGCAATGGGAGAACTCACATTTGGGTAGACGGATCACCTCGAAATCACATCAAAGCCAAAAATTGCTTCTTCCGTAACTGATACCCAATAACAGCTTTCCTTGTCCCGTTATGATGAAAGCCAGCAGAAGAGCTGCACCTCAGCTGAAGGCCAGATGTTGTTCCCGTACAGCGTTGAGGATGATTGGCGTGATGTTGCTTGCTGTTGTTGTTGAGATAGAAAAGAAAAGACATAGTTGCTGAGTAATAATGTTATTCGCTCTTATTGGCTGATCGGCCTTACTCAGCTTTTTTAAAACAGCGATACCTCAACTTGCAGGTTGCATTAAAACAGCGAGAGAACTGGCCAAGCTGGGCTTATCTACACGTGACGATAAGTACTGACCAAAACTTTAATTGGAAGTAAAGAAAAAAAAGCTTGAAAGTTATCAAAAGGAAAAAAATCAGCTTGAAGACGGCGAGCTTCTGCGACACCACCACGAGCAGTACTGAGGCGTCCTATCGATATCGTAAGTCCTCAGACGACATCAATTGAACTCAACTCCGGGGCTTGGTTGCCCCTCGCTATGAAATTTTAGCTTCTCACTTGACCCCGTCTCTACATCTCACGGCGACAACAATATATACCATAGCAATGGGGGGCAAAAGTGACGCCGACTGGTCTGTTGAATATGACACTCTCAGACGGGAGCGGTTATTCAGACATCCTCCAAAGGATAAGACAGCGTACCCTGCGCTAGCAGCCGCCATTCGCCCTCACATCGACTCGTTCAATGCTCTATTTGAGGATAGCAAAGTGCTGGACGCAGCTCTCAAGGATATCGGAATAAAATCTTTCATTGACGGGAACTCGAAAACGCCTGAAGAAAAAGCTGCTCGACGAGAGGATGGAAGAAGGGCACCAAAGAGAAACAAGCTGAGCGTGCGGATAACTGAGCTATTCTTGGAGAAAGCCGTTCTCCCGGCCTCGAACAAATACAGCACGCGCAATCGAGAAATCTACCCTGCCGAGTGCCGTGAAAGACATGCGACTTATCGAGGAAAACTAAGGGCGAGATTGGAATACAGAGTGAACAATGGAGAGTGGAAGGAGTCAGTTCGGGAGTTGGGTCAAGTTCCCATCATGTTGCGGGTATGGTTGATTCTATATAAAACTGTCTACGTATCCATTGCGAGACCTTAACTAACCTGCTCCTAGTCCAACCGATGCCATCTAGAAAAGGCTACCCCGGCTCAGCTGGTTGATCGCAAGGAAGAGTCAGAAGAGCTGGGCGGCTACTTTGTCGTCAACGGAAATGAGAAGCTTATCCGAATGCTAATCGTTGGTAAAAGAAACTTTCCAACCGCAATTATCCGAAACTCTTTCCAGAAGCGTGGCTCAGCGTATACAAAGTTTGGTGTACAGATTCGCTCTGTCAGGCCGGATCAGACCTCGCAGACGAATGTACTTCATTACCTTAATGATGGAAACGTCACGTTCCGGTTTTCCTGGAGAAAGAACGAATACCTTGTGCCTGTCATGATGATTCTGAAGGCGCTGATCGAAACCAATGACCGCGAGATATTTGAACGACTGGTCGGCGGGGAAGGATCCTTGGGTATCGAGAATACCTTCGTCACTGACCGTGTTGAACTGCTCTTACGCACGTACAAGGCATACGGCGTCCATTCTCGGTCAAAATGCAGGGCCTACTTGGGCTCCAAGTTTAGATTCGTCCTTGGAATGCCAGAGGATGTTCCGGACGAAGATGTTGGTACTGAATTCCTCCGAAAGATAGTCCTACCACACCTGGGTAATCAAAATGTTACCGAAACCCAGAACAATGACAAGTTTAACATGATCTTGTTCATGATACGGAAGCTCTATAACCTGGTTGCGGGAGATTGTGCTCCTGACAACCCCGATGCGGTATCGAACCAGGAAGTTCTGCTTGGTGGCTACTTGTACGGCATGCTTCTGAAAGAAAGACTGGAGGAATGGTTAAAATCCGTTGGCCCCATTGTTCGGGACTGGAGATTAAAAAATGACGATGCCAAATTCACAGATCCCAGCTTCGAAAGGGACTTCCTTGCGAGGGTTATCGGCAGGACAAACGAAAATATTGGCGGTGCTATGGAATATTTCCTGTCCACTGGAAACCTAGTTAGTCCTACTGGACTTGATCTTCAGCAGCCTTCTGGTTATACGGTAATGGCGGAAAAGATCAACTTCTACCGATTTATCAGTCATTTCCGAATGATTCACAGAGGAAGCTTTTTCGCGCAATTGAAAACTACTACAGTTCGTAAACTGCTGCCGGAGAGTTGGGGGTTCCTCTGCCCTGTGCATACCCCTGATGGAAGTCCTTGCGGTTTGCTGAACCATCTAGCGCACAAATGTCTAATATCGACCTCCAACCTGGATGTCTCAGGCGTGCCTGGGGTTCTTGCTGGACTTGGAGTGACTTCTGAATCATCCTGTTCCACTGAGGAGAGTATCCCTGTCCTGCTGGATGGAAAGATTCTAGGATACTGCACGCCAAAACAGTCTCGTGTTATTGCCGACACCCTCCGGTACTGGAAGGTTCAGGGCCACAAGCACATTCCGGTAGAGCTTGAAATTGGTTATGTTCCCAGTTCGAATGGCGGTCAATATCCGGGCGTGTACATGTTCTCTGAAGCTGCTCGTATGTATCGGCCGGTCAGATATCTCCCTCTAGATAGGCTGGACTATGTCGGCCCGTTCGAGCAGCCTTATATGGAAATCGCCTGCGTTGCTTCTGATATCAAAAACGGCGTTTCCACCCACATCGAGTTTGACCCAACTCATATTCTCTCTATCCTCGCCAACATGACTCCGTTCTCCGACTTCAACCAGTCTCCGCGTAACATGTACCAGTGTCAGATGGGTAAACAAGCAATGGGAACTCCCGGTACAGCCATCGAGTACAGAACAGACAACAAGCTCTACCGACTGCAGACTGGTCAGACACCGGTAGTCAGACCACCTCTGTATAACGCCTATGGACTGGATAACTTCCCCAACGGCATGAATGCAGTAGTTGCCGTCATCTCATACACAGGCTACGACATGGACGACGCTATGATAATAAACAAATCTTCCCATGAGCGTGGGTTTGGCTACGGGACCATTTACAAAACGAAGATTTATGCTTTGGATGATAAAGAATCACGAGGACGCGGGAAATCCAAGCGAGCGATCACCAAGCTATTCGGGTTTGCGCCGGGCGGTTTGATCAAGGCGGAGTGGAAATCGCAGCTTGATGAAGATGGACTGCCGCATATTGGAGCCAAAGTGAGCGAAGGGAGCCTGGTGTGCGCCTGGTACACTGTTCAATATGACCCAGCGACAGACACATACATCAACGTCGACAAGCAGACACACTTCCTGAAATACAAAGACGGAGAAGAAGGATTCGTCGATAGTGTCAGAGTCCTTGGATCGGAGACAGGAAACGAAGTGTGCCAGGCCGTCAGCATCAAGTACAGAGTGCCCCGTCGACCGGTCATTGGTGACAAGTTCTCATCCCGCCACGGCCAAAAGGGTGTCTTGTCCCAGCTATGGCCATCGGCAGACATGCCATTCTCCGAGTCCGGCATCCAGCCTGATGTCATCATTAACCCTCACGCTTTCCCATCTCGAATGACGATAGGTATGTTTGTCGAGTCGCTAGCAGGTAAAGCCGGCTCACTACACGGTCTGCCCCAAGATTCGACGCCCTTCCAGTTCTCTGAAGAAACGACGGCAGGAGACTACTTTGGCAAACAGCTTCAAAAAGCCGGCTATAACTTCCACGGAAACGAGCCCATGTACTCTGGCATCACAGGCCGGGAGTTTGCAGCTGACATCTACATCGGCGTCGTCTACTACCAGCGTCTACGACACATGGTTAACGATAAGTTCCAAGTGCGTACGACTGGTCCCGTCAACGCTCTGACCGGCCAGCCCGTCAAGGGTCGTGCTAAGGGTGGTGGTATCCGTGTCGGAGAGATGGAGCGTGATGCATTGCTGGCCCACGGTGCAGCATTCCTACTCCAGGACCGACTGATGAACTGCTCTGACTCTCAGCGTGCATGGATATGTCGAGCCTGTGGTTCTTTTATCTCAACGCAGGTAGCGGTTTCGCAGCTCCTGTCGCCGCATAAAAACCCAGCAATGGAGGCCGTCGTCCAGTCCACTGCTGACGCGATAGCCAAACCTCTCAGTGGAGTCAGTGCCCTCGGCGGCCTGGCTGGTATTGTACGGTGTAGAAGATGCGCCAGGGAGGCGGTCTTCGACGACCCCAGGGCCGAAGTGTGGGAAGACGGCACGGGCAAGAGATACGTCGGCGGCAGTGATACAACCGTGGTTGCTGTGCCTGGAGTGCTCAAATATCTCGACGTGGAGCTTGCTGCCATGGGCATTAAGATGAGATTCCATGTCGATAACTAACTAAATAGCGTTGTCTTTTTTTTCCTCAGTTTGTTAATACTACTTGATTCATGCATGACAGCAATATACGCATAGATATGCTCCCTTCACTGCACTTCAATTATTCACTCTTCCTTACTCTTAACTACGGTTATTCACCCCCGTATTCACTGGCTATCATAGGCTACGTTACGTATTCACGAGTGGAGGAGAGCACTATAAATTCGGTAAGATTTTCGAAGGACGTCAGCTTCAACTTCAACTTCAACTCAACACTCAAGAAACTGTCAAAGTGCCCCATTCAACCAAAATCCATCCTTGATAGTGGCCAAGGATAGGGATACATCTACTGCTTAGAGACGCCTCCAGCTTTGGGTCCCGCGGCTTAGACTCCCTATAACCAGGACCTGGACTCACTCGAAGGAGACCCAAACACCAACCTCGGCGGGACTGCACAAATTGGGGCCGCTGGAGTATGTTGCATGATTGCAACAAGGGGTATTTGCTTACCAGGGACCCAAAACCTGTCTTGGGCTACTATAGCTTATGCAATGAAAGTTATAACCTTACAGTGGCCACCATTCATCAACAAAGTTGCCGACCTGGTAGGATACCTGAAGTTGATATCCAAACCACGGTGGAGGATAGATCTAGGAACACAAGCGCCCGCCATCCGCCTGGAGCATAGGCAATTTCTGATCTCTCAACTGTGGAGAAGCCACAAGCCCATCTACTCGACGCCTCACCGGCTGGGTAGGCAGGCCGCGACTCCGGATAGCATCAGCATGTGGAAACCAGCCGAAGTCGAAATTCAAAGCAGATGCCTTCCGGCAAGCTGTTGAAACTCTTTACGGGGCCATCCATGATCTCTCACGTCTTAGACGCCTGCCACCCCTTGTGGCGTTAGACAGTATACCACCACCGCCATCACCACCACGATGGCCAAAAGCACCGGGGCGAACCCAACAGCGGCGTGGCCCGCGCTCTTTCCCCTCGACCTCGGGGGGATTGCCCAAATCGGGGTCGGTGGGATATGTGGCATAATTGTCACATACGATGTTTGTTTAGGCCCATGCCCTCTGTTATGCAGTGTAAGCTATAGCCCACCAAAGAAACCTGACATGGCACTGACGTTCGATTAGTCGGCGCTGGGCAGACCGCGGGTATACCGCCTCCCCCAATACCACCACCAGCACTAGCAGTAATGTCCGATAATAGCACTGCTAACGAGGCGAACCCAACAGCGGCGTGGCCCGCGCTCTTTTCCCTCGACCTCGGGGGGATTGCCCTAGGGCCCACGTCCAGCGATTTTTGTAAAGGGTATGAGCATATCACCAGAAACTTCGGTGATTAAGTTCGAATAAGAGACAATGACGGTCTCTATAACGTCTGCTGGCTGGTGGGAAGAACGTGTTACCCTCTGAAGTGGTGTAGGAGAAAGTTCCCATCTTTTAAATATAATCTGAGGAGGCTACCACTACCACTACCGACCATCTACCTCCTTCCCCCCTACCCCAAGGGGAGCCCTATGCCCGCCCCCTCTGCCATGATGCGCAATGCCGTTGCCCCTGCCACCTATAGGTAGTGGCGGCGAAAATCCTCCGTAGGGAGAGTGTTGTTAAACCCGGCGGCACGGTGGTAAGTAAAACCAAACAAACTCTATAATAGTTCAAAATATAGTGTGTTAACGGTTGATACTCTATCTTATAGTGAGACTTCTTTTTTTTGTCTCCTCTTCTCCTTTATTTTAATATTAGTACGCAAGGCGAGTGTTGCCAAAGACGATGAGCACGATACCGAATGCCGCTGCCTCTGCCACCCACAGGTGGTAGAAGAAAGGATAGCCAGAAGAGCCAGTACAATTGAATCTGGTGGCGCAGCGGTAAGTAAAACCAAAAAAAAACTCTTTGTCTGGATGGCATATGTTGATATTCAGGCAGACGCTTGTTCGTCTTACTCCGGATAGACAAAAAGAGGACACCGAGATAATATACCCCAATATCCTGACTGGGGAATGGCATATATATAAATACTTCGTCGCTACCTATGTTTCCCTCTGTCTCATGGTTAGAAAGCTATGGACCACATTTTCAGCAAGATACCTACAGAGAAATTGATACAGCACGAAACGGCCTTTTCCTACCCGCCGAATTCGAAGAAGCGTTCGACGATGTAAGTGGTCTTTTAGTCAAGCTGGCCAGGACATCCCTAGGTATTTCGAGGATCAACTCGGAGATATTTGGGACGGCCTTATAACCTTATATCGACATGAATCATCTCAAGCTGCTCGTGCTACTCGATTTGCTCGAGTTTAAAGTCCTCATTATCCATGCGGGAATGGACCTAGACGAGAGATAGTAGGCGTTTAGAAACTTCAATGATCCAACGTACGACTGCGACGTCCTTTTAACAACGTATGCGTGCGGGGGAGTGGGCCTTAACTTGCATGGCAATTGCAACACTATAATACTCGTGGAGCCGGCTCAAAATGTCAATACTACGGTCCAAGCCATTGGGCGACTTCACCGGCTAGGCCAAAAATAGGAATAAGAAGTCTACATCTTGTTTTCGAAATACTCCTGGGATAGATTTGTCGAATATAACTCGGCGAAGAGAATGGTCGGCCAGATCGTGGCCGACAATTCAGATATATTCGATAACTTTCTCCGAGAAATCCAGGACAGAGTCGAGAGCAAATGGATGAGTGTTGAAAATTCACAGTCTCCTTCCAAGCGACAACACCAATACAAGGAGTAGAGGGCTAGTGGGCGTCACTGGGGGTTTAAATGTATACAATGAGATGAAAGCATGTGGAAACATCCTCCTTGCGCTTGTCCTGCAGGATGGCAAACTCTTGTGTTAAGCCCTTCTAATTGCATCTTTGCGGTGCACAATAATCCTACATAGAATAATAAATACGTACCCAAAGCTTCTCTTGAGCTATTTTACATGGGAGTATGCCAATGAGTCTCGGTCAAGCTCTTAGGCTACTTGTTCTACGGCCAATGATACCATTCAAGCCTTGATATCAACTATATCGCCCTGCATAGATGATATAATGATAAAACTAGTCCTTTTGGTTCTTTAAGTTTGATAGATGTTGTATCGTTTAATAGGGGATGTTATAAAGGGGGTAGTTTGGTGGTTTCTGCTTGATATCTGGACAAGAACCTAAGTCTGGTGTCTTTTGCATGTATGTAATCTGAGGCTCCGTAGTTCTCTAGTTTGAGTTTATGACAGTGAATACATAGAAGAGGATGATTCATAATACCAGAATTGTATCTTGTGCATTCGTTTCAAAGGTGATTTGATAATGATACAGTATATTAATCACCGTAGATTTATCACTGGTAGTCGTCTATCCGATACACCATGCGTGCAGTCGAGTGTTTGGTTTGGTAGAGTAAGAAGAGAGGGAGTAAGAGATTGTCGAATAAAGTTTTAGTTCACAATGCTCTCAGAGACATTTGAAAATTCACCCTTCTCAAGCTTGGTATTCCAGAAGATAGGGTTGGTATCGCTGAATCCGTGCTTTACCCATCCGTCCTCCTTCACATGGTATAGGTTGATAAAACCACCAGAGTAAGCATCTCTGTGTGTAGCAGCGAGAATACTTCTAGACCCAAGCGCGAGGGCCTCCTCTTCCGTCAAGTCATATCGGTACTCCGCATCCAGCACACCATATGCAAATGTCTGACCTGATCCAACGCAGAACAGGTTCCCTGGCAACCGAGTGCCGTCGGAATCAATGTAGTACAGCGCCGGGCCTTCTTCGGGCGTGACGCCGGCGCACATGGTTCCCATGCTGAGACCCATTCCCTTGTAGTTATAGACTAGGTTAGCGAGGATCTTGGAGGCGGCGGCAACGGAGATACGGCGTTTGTGTCGAAGCTCATGAAGACGGCATTGCATGCCTAGATATGCAAGCCAGTATTGGCAGTCCTATAACAGCATTAGACGGATCAAGTAGGAGGGGGGGATGTCGAGACATACAGCAGCACCACCGGCCATGGTCCCGAGCAAGCAACTGTTGATCTCAATGACCTTCTTGACCGTCTGACTGGCAATCCAGTTTCCTGCCGTAGCTCTGGAGTCTGTAGCTACAATTATACCGCCCTGGAATCTGAACGCGAGTGTTGTTGTACCGTGGGCAATCTTGATAGGACAGTCTGGGTTGGCATGGTCGTCTGTCGTAGCTCGTAGGAAGGCAGACGGCTGCACACACTCGGTTAGTTATGATACAGCTAACACAAAGGGCTGCTTGCGGTCACCCACTCTGTCAATAGGAGGGAGAGAGAATCTGAGAGACAGCGGAGGAGCTCTTTCTAGGACATCCTGCTGCTCGGTCTCGTAGTCGTCCTGGAAGCTCGACGGCCGGGAGTATTGGGCTACGAGGGTGTCCATCTTGCGGTCTTCCTTGGCTTCTGCTGGTGTATATCGGTGCTATCAAAGCTGGACAAGCTGCCGCAAGGTCTAGGTATCTCGTCTGCGAGGCTGCGAAGGTGGTGAAGCTGTTTTGTTTCCTGCTGCTTTAGTTATCTGTCTTGTCTGTCTGTTTGTTTCTTCCGCTTGAGCTTTCGCGTTCCTTTTGCGGCCTGGATCACGTGATGTTATCAAGATGAAGCTGAAGATGAAGTTGAAAGTTGACGATAAGACGAAGAATAAGACAAGCAGTCAAGAAGAGGCGAAGAAGCAGAAGAGATGGGGATGGAAAGCAGGCAAGAAACTTCCTAATTATGTATTACGAAGCTCGACTAATTAACTAGCTGCAGGAAAAAGCACCGAACCAACCCCCAGACCATGACTCCAACAGCATACATGAGTGTGCTTTTTGGAACCCCCTACGCCTAGGACAGGAGATATCCTAGATCTCGCTTTCCTCTACTGCTTTACCATTGACGCCGTTGCCGTTGATGCCGTTTCCGTTTGCCTGGGCTTCGATCTTCTTGGGGATAAGCCCTTCAGAGGCCATGGGGACCGGTTCAAGATTGGGTTTCCACGATGTGAGGTCTCCCTCAGCATCTTCCATTATCTGACGGCTGTCTTCAAGGCGGTCGAACTTTTCTCGGCCCTCTCCGGGGACAACGGGGGTGTCATCGATGAGGGCAAGTAGTCGGCGGCCGTGACGGGCAAGTTGGGCCTGTTTCTCGGCCCGCTCAATGGTGGCAGCCAAGTGCAGGTCAAAGGCCTCCTTGAACTTTTGACGGGTCTACCATGGTATTAGCATGCTATTCTCGCTGCCAAGGTGGATGAACGGCAAAAAAAAAAAATGAGAAATGTACCATGTTGGTCAACTGGGCTTCTGCAACTAGAGCGCGGGCTTCAGCTCGAACTAGTTCCTGTTCGAGGCCAGTGACCTTCGCACTATCTGGATCACGTAGCTTATGCTTGTGGATTTCATCGATGATCTTTGCTTTGTGGTCTCTCGCTGGCTGCACGGAACCCTCTGTGTTCCTGATATGTTTCAGGACACATCTTGCGTCCTCCAGGCTATAGGAGTACAGGTCTTCCTGCTCACCGATTTCAGACAAGATGATCCCCAGCTTGTCCGATATATCGGAGACAGCCGGGTCGCCCGTGTTGAACCCCCAGTTAGACAATTGGGAGGCTCCCACCGCACGGTCCTGGCCTGCATTCCTGTATGAGTTAATGGCATGGCCCTCTGTCTTGATGACCTTGAACAGCTCCTTGCTTAACTCAGGCTGCTGGATGCCTCGCAACGATGCTATGCTGAAGCGGTGCCTCAATGGCTCCGACCCTGTAGTGTGCCGAGTGCGGTTCCTATAGATGTCAGCATACATGGCTGGCTTCATCTCCCATTTAACCTCCCCACACTTACATATTTGATAAGTGTTTGTCCTTCTGTTTCACTATTCAATCTTGTTCTTTTCTGTATATGCTGCTTCAATTCTCCAGAAGAACCAAGAAGAGTAAACAAGCGGCGTTCGAGAGAGGCAGGCGAAAGTCGCCTTCCCATGTCTCCCCTTCCTTCTGTATATAGTGACGTCATGTGTTATTCCAGGCGGTCTTTTTCGGATATATTAAAGGCAGCTAGTATAGCAACGGCGTGGTCGCTGTTCCATGGTAGATGGTGAGTTAGACCCCCTTTTTCACTGTTGTCGTTGGTCGATGGGTGTGGCTGGCCCAGCTACAGATATACTAGCAAAAACTAACAATAATACAAACAGCTGACATTGATTTATATACATCTCGAGTATGACATGTTGAAAGAGCATTAAGGAAACCAAGAGTAAATAATCAACAATCTGTCCGGCAAAAAACTAGCAGCCAAATGAGTGTCGCAAAGGGGGATATACTATGCAATCTGAACGAAAACGCCACAAGATAGAACTGAACCACAAACATCCAATATCCGAGAAGGAAAAAACGAAAGAATAAACCAGCAACAATCCACGATCCGGTCCCAACTCCGTTCTCCATGCTCCGACATGCATTAGTTAGTTGTCACAAAGAAAGATGCAGTCTGGTCACCACCGATTATCCCCAAAATAATACCCGTCAGGCCGCACTTCCCTGAACCTCGACGGGATACACGTCCTGTACCGGGGCTCATGGTATCTCCTGCTCACTGGGCGAGACAGTTCATAGCGGCGTGTCCTCTGGGTGATGCGTACCCGCTGGTACTCCATCCTATAGTGGCTGTAGGTGGAGAAGGCCGGGCCACCCTCGCAGTACGGGCGGTCGTCGAAGTTGCCTATGTTCAGCCGGGGCGGAGGAAGATACTCGGGCACGAGATAGCTGGTTCGCCGTTGGAGTCGGCAGGGTTTCTTCTGAATCCCTCGGCGTGGCTCTATCACCGTAAACCGAGGGAGGCACCTGCAGACGATAGCGCAGTTGCACATCTTGACGAGCTTGTTCTTGCCCTCGTCTTCTCTTGACTTGAAGATGTGCTGCTGCCTTGACGTCGTTTGCAGAAGTGGCTGGATGGATGTGATGTAACTTGGCTTTGGTATGTAGGATATAGATCTGGTTCTGCAGTCCTCTGGTGTAAGAAACAAATGCTAAGACAGATAACTAGGTATAGGCATGCATGTACCTCGATATAGCGTTTTGTTATGCGTATGGTCTCGGATATCTTCTAACGAAGCGGGACGGGGAGACAGTTAACTGTCTTCAACGGGCGTGCTGCTAGTTAATTTTATATAGATATTCTGATCTAGATACCTGGTGCCGTGACCTGCTCATTGGGGGAATAACGATGACTTGAGCTAGCAAAGGAGAAAATAGACGACGAGATCATGAGGAGCTATTTATATCAGAAGGTACAAGGTCACCTTCCTCTTCCCCCTACACAAATATATCTACCCTCCATCTCTAAACTGCATTTTCTGCTGCGCAGTAGATTCCTCGTTCTGCCTACCTATAGCCACCGGGCTGGGTCCATCTCCAGGCAGCATAGCGGTCGCTCAGCGGTCGGCAAGGGTAATTCATACTGAAAAAGCCTCATCAAGAGCCCGAAATGCGGCGTATCTGTGATTTCAGTCTCTGCATGAATAAATCGTTGAACGGATTCATAGATTGTCCGCTGTGATGACATCACGAGTTATGTTTTCTTTTCCACTGGCACGGTCAGCCACAACCGCTCTAGAGGCAGTGCAAGGAGATGCTAAACTGGTCGACAGCATCCAGTCGTCTTGCTGTCTCGTGGATCCCCTGCATGAACAAGTCAAGGTCGCTTGATGGTTGCTAGGCATCCAACCACTCCCGCGTCGTCCTTCAGGAAATAAGCCCGATAGATGGAGACGGCTTGAGGCTCAACTCTGGCCCGCCTTGCATGAAAAAATATTGAACCGGCTTTCGAGCGTCTTCTAGCCCATACTTGTGGCTTTCGTCGAGGATCTTTATGAGTGAGCCAGAACCTTTTTCCCGCGTAGCTTGTTCCAATAAAGATTTGTGGCCACAGCTGCCAAAAATGATGATGCCTACCAAATTTTATTCGAATCACCAAACAAATCACAAGGTCAATACAAACGTAGCGACGTTTACTGTTCCAAGCAAGGTAGAAGTACAAACAACAAAATAGCCATATAGAATAGCAGGTAAACAGATAAAAAGGTGTATGTCCTCCAAATAATTTTCCAGACTCCAGCTTCCACAATCCAGCGTCCTCCCTGCGGTGAAGTAGTCGTACAGCTGACCCAACCATCTACGCGATTTCGTCTGTCTCATGATGATGTTCCCCGAGGTCCCCTTCGGTGGCATGGAAGGCATCTCCAAAGGCAGAGTCATCTATGCCACCCATGTCAAGCCCGCCAACGTCTCCATGGTAGTCTGCCAGTGCTTCTCCAGCGGTATTGATATTCTCATCCTCAAACTCCCCCGTCGCCCCAGGCGTCATTCCCGGTACGGTGGCCTCTGCGGTGGGCGCAGCTGGTGTTCCCTGAACAGAAGTTGTGCTAGGTGCTCCGGTGGTGGTGGTGATAGGCTGTTGTGTATTTTCGTTCACACCAGGATTGATGCCCTTGGAGGGTGACGCCGCGGATGTATGGCCGTCTTTATTTACCATTATCCAGTCCCCATCTCCTTCAGCTGCTGCTGGCTGTCCAGACGTTGCATGTGACTGGACTGGAGGCTCAACACCACCCATGACAACGTCCTCGCTGGTTGGTGGCGCTGTACTGACGGGCTGTGGAGGTGCGGCTGATGATGGCATCGGCTGCGAGGCCGCGGATGTAGGTACCCCCTGTGAAGGAGCAGTGACTCCAGGTGCCGTTTCAACGCCACCATCGGTTGCCCGGTCATACTGTCCATAATGTACTGTGTTGATCATGTCGGCATCTGATATGGTGGGTTGAGGGGGTGGGGGAGGAGGCTGCACCCGTTCCTGTAAACCTCCTTTCTCTAGACAGTTGATGTCACTGACCGGAACAACCGTCCTTCCCCAACTGGCTTGTAGTCCGTTCAGGATATCATCCACCTTCTTCCTGGACTTGTCGCTGTAGTCAACTGGGGACATACCATCCTCTTGCTCGGGTCGCAGCCGCCCTTCTACCCTCCAGATTTCATCCCCGGTGTCGGACGGATCAATGACGGCATCTCGGAGGTTAAGCTCAGCCTCTCTCAAGGCTGACAGTTTCTTCGTCTTCTCCAGTTTGCGAGCATGTTTCTTTCTCATGTTTTCCATTTCCGCATTCATCTCAGCAAGCCGTTTAGCAACGGAGTTGGCAAAGTCTTCAGCCTTCCCAGGATCCATCTTGCCACTAGCTGGCGGTGGCCCGTCACCTTCTTTTCGCTGGGATGCGAGCGCACCAGGGGTGTAGAAGTAGCCCTTTGTCAAACTCTCCAGCTCACCTTTGCGACCGAGTCCAAGATCAACAGGAAGTATCTGGTCCATTCGATACGGTGAAGCTAATACCTCTTCCATCCATTCGTGGTGGTTCTTGTAACGCATGCGACTGATATCTCTGGGTGTGAGTGCATCGAGAATGTCGCCTGTTGACACTTCCTCGTCATCTAGAGAAAAATCCGGGGTTGCAGGGGCTGTCGAAGCGGGCGCTCGCTGAGTGCGTTGGACCTTGGGCGGGACAACGCCAGGTGGATAGCCAACAACTTGTTGCTGTTGCATGGGCGCGTGTGGAACCTGTTGGCGGGCAAGCATTTGCGCAGCGTAAGCCTGGGGGTAAGGCTGCTGCTGCTGCTGTCCATGGGGTGGCAAGTTGATGGTAGGCCAGTTATTCCTGTCGTGAAGCATGAATTCCTTCCTGGCCAGCTGGCCTTGACTCTGGATGTAGCGACGTTGGCCGAGGATATTCTGTGTCTGGGGAGAGACGGGGATGCGAGAGGCCGGAAGCTGGTCGATGGAGGGAGCCTTGCTATAAAAAACGATCCATAGGGATGGATCGCACGGCGGGAGGTTTGGATTGGGAGTCTTAAGGCCAGTTATTCGGAATCTTCGGCGTGAGTGTGTCGCCATGTTCTCATTTGGCGGGTGGTAACCCGTCCTGTGCATATATATTTCAAGAATCTGCGCGCGCAAAAAAGAATCAGCAACACAACGCAAAATCAATCGGCAACCACGGTGGCATCATTGTCCCATACATAACCGCGGACTTCGACCGTGTAGGCCTGCTCGACGTCAGCCCAGACATAGCCGTCACTCGCGAAATTGGTTCCCAGGTGGTTCAGAGGCTGCCATGTTAGCATCACCGTGTTGTCTGGCGGTCCGTCGAGGTAGGTCCAGTGCATCGGCTGAAGCTCTCTGACGACCTTGGGCGCCGCCAGCAGGTATTCCACCGCCGTCTCATGCGTGAACGCAGCGGAAACCGGGTATCTATAGGAAGATACCAGGTGCAAGTGTGGTAGCTATATACATAGACACTTGTTAGCCGTCTCGTCCGCGAAGTTTGGATAGCAGCGCTCTCACGTACGAGCTGAGGAGGCACTCCTCCTGCAGGATCCTGCATCCTGGCCGCTGGGTGTTGTCGGCTCATCTGTATAACTGGCTCAACTGCGCTTCTGCCGTCTCTGATCAAGCTGTTCGTTGAGTCGCGTTTGTTCGTGTTTCTTCTTCGTCTTTTGCTTGAAGTCGAAGATTTCTTTTTTTGGTCACGTCACGTGATAGCTATCAAAGGCCAGCCCCTGGACAGGACGATATAAAAATAATTGGTAGAAAGACGATTAAAAGAGAGGGAGGGTATAAAATAAAAGGTCTAATTGTCTATATCTAACTCTATTGGGGCCAATGAAGGAAGACTTTGTAACATATATAGATAGCCTCAGAATTTAGCTGCTGACTGTGAGTATAGAAGGCCGTGTCAGGGGCTCTCAACCAAATAGTTATTGTATTAAATGACAAACCCTAGGACCACCTTGGGTTGAAGGGCCCATAGAGAGCGTATTTGGTGAATATCTAGTTGTGGAATCCCAAGAAATGTTCCAGGGCGACGATCATGTCCGTAACAATCCTTGCCAATAGGGTGAACATCAAGTTCCAACGACCCTAGATGTGAGCAGATTTACTCCTGGGAGAATCGAGAGTTGCAATGAAGTGACGTGGAAGGCCCTGTAGATATGGGATGTTGGATTGAAATGTATCATCGGGGGCAGGAAAGTAAGAGCTGTTGATAGTCTCACTCCAGTCAGTTATCAACCCTCATTGAATGACCACTTCATCGCCATAGGTAGATACTATTCCGTCTAAAGAACGTATCTGAAATTTGGGCTATAGTTCTCTCCACCAACAACTCGTTCGTTTTCACCAAGGTTACTGCGCAGCTTTTGTTCTTCGAGTGTTCCGTATAGTTTGTCTAGCTTGCGGTTCTGTCGTACCAACAGCCAGCGGAATACAACTGCAAGAAGAAACTGGAAAAACATGACTCCAGCGCAGACAGCATTGCCTTTCACATAACGAGGGCCATCAGTAAGGGGATATAGCCTAGAGCCAGGTATTGAGCCACTCATGCCAATGACCCCCATGATAGCTACTGTGAAGCCACGTCGACTATCTGTCCCCTGGTTGTCTGTAAGACAGAAGCCTCGTCAGCAAGATAATTGTATGAAAAAAAATAAACCGGGGAACGCAAGACTCACTCATGATCCATGGTGACAGGCAAGCCGAGCCGGAGAATAAACCGGCAGCGGCCAGAAAGACACCCAAGTAGCAAACCCATGTTGACTCACAGACAGCGAGTATGGCGTAGCCTGCAGCAGCAACAAGGGCAGCAAAAGCCACTGCGGCGCCTCGTTGCTGGTACCTGTCCGAATACCAAGATAAGACAATGGTAATGAGGGCAGCAACTAGATAAGGTGGTGCAGTTAAGCCCTGGGCAGTGACTGCGGAGAATCCCATACTCTTGATTATAGTAGGGAGAAATATGGGAAGTGATCCCCAACAGCACGCTGCACTGAAGGTTATAACCTAGAGACGCACTTTTAGTGATTGAGGGCAGATGTATAGAAGGGAAGGCAGCTTACTGTTGGAAACCACACATTGATATCCAATATTGTAGCACCAAGTTCATTCCAGTCAATGCTTCCTACGCGCTCTACATGGCCTACCTGCCCCTTAAGTCTTGCCACAGCAACCTCTTTTTCTTCAGGAGTAAAGAAGTTTGCCTTGTCCGGGCTCGGGGGTATGAGATATAACGCCAATGGAGCCATGAGAATACTTGGTATGCCTTCTACCAAGAACAGGACTCTCCAGCTAGCAATTTTGTAGGTTCCCGACGTGATAGCATATGCCAGGGCGCCAGAAAAGGAGCTTGAAAGCGGTGCGCTGGATAGATAGATCGCACAGCGAAGCCCGATCTCTTCACGGCGGTAGTAGAAGCTAAAGAAATAGAGAGTTCCAGTCGAGAAAATTGCTTCTGCTATTCCGAGGAAGAACCGAAGTGCCATGACGCCCTCCCAGTTACGAGCAACTCCATGCAGAGTAGATGTCAGGCCCCTGAAGGTTATGTTAGTTACATAGTTATTAAACATAAAATTCAAGTGTGGTATACTCACCATAGAAAGACAGTAAACACAAGCATGTAATCATGCCTAAACCGTTTCCACATAACCACTTGGAAGTGGAAGATCACAAAGGGAATGAAGAAGACGGTTGACAGCCAGTCAAAGCGGTCCCCGTACAGTTGAAGGTCAACGTCCATCCCAGCGATTCGAGCATTTCCAATATTTGCTCGATCTAGATAGGCGAGGACGGCTATTTCCAAGGAATAACTTAGCTGCTATGCATAAAACGGATGTCGAGATCAAAATGACACTCGGGCTTCGTAACTATATTAAACTCACCAAGGACGCTGACTAGGCCTAGCAGCCGAGTATCCAACTTCCGCACGACGCGGCGCTCTAGCTCTGGGTCAACGTATATGGCATCTGGCGATGGGTCAGAGCCAGGAGAAGCTCCTCGCTCAGCATCAACGGCCAAAACCTCGACTTGAGCTGGCTCTTGTTGTTTCTCCATGTTCCAGGGGACTTTGGCAAACAGTCAAGCTGCCTACCTTCAAATTTGTTTAATGAGAATCTCTGTGGCCGAGAAGGAGGACCCAAAAATAAGGCTGCCATATAATGGTGGGTGATCAGCAGCTAGCTGGTTAGTTATTTATATATCCTGCTGCTGTACTGCATGTACCAGTTAAATAGCCAACCAGCCCAGTAAGCCACAGGAACTGCGACGAAGCATTGGCAGCTTGGATCTTCGCACTCTCAAGAGACAAGACAAAGAGTGCATGCTGGCGGCTGCGTATCGAACAGGCATTTGGCCTAGGCCGAGTGGTACAGGATGCACAACTCCAGGAGAGAGCAGTACGGCGTACAAAAGAGCAGATACCTGGATGTGCCAATATCCTACATGATAAGGAATGTTCATGGAAGGATCTCTTTATGCACCGCAGGCACTGTCGTCTGTTTGGTTACTCAGTAACCATGGAGTATTCTGCTGCAATAAGTGTTGTACATACAGCTGGCTTCTTTCAATGCCGTAGGAGTTTGCTGTACTCGCTACACGGCAGGGGTACACTGCTTCTCGCAAAGACGAGGCGATGTGCCCTACGGACGAGTCGGAAGCCGACTCGATTCAATGTTGGACAGCATCATATAACCACAGAACCACAATATACACCTAGTCAATCTCGGTTCTGGAGTCCCCGGCCGTAGATGTGGTTGGGCGATTAGTTATAGCCCAGGGAGTCATGGGGTTGCCCCTTTTCGGGACCGTCATTTGGATAGCAGACAGACGTCCCATCCATATATCTAGCCTTTATAGAAGACAAAGGAGAAGACAACTTCCAATTTCAAATATAAACCGTTACATACGGAAAAAGTGAAACTCCGCCTGAAGATTTAGCCAGGAAAACATATAGAAGGTCGCGGTTAAGGTTGGTTATAACCTCCGCTACAGATAACCCCGATATTTCGGGGTGTACGCCAAGAGGCCCCCAAATAACTCGGTTATTTGTAGCTTATACACTACATAGATAAGCAGCTGGTTGAGCTTTAGGTTAGTTATAGTTAGTATGATAAGTCCTTAGCCAATTAATGAATGACTTAAGTATTATATAATACCAAATATATCGCCCTCCCTGTGTACATTACAGAGGTAAAATGGGGAAGCTTTTTAAACAAGCTCATAATCCTGGATACATGTGGTCTTGGCATAAACACCATAGTAACCGGGGTTATAACCAAAGGGCCTCCAAATAACCACTAGAGACTATAGCTTCACCAGGAGCTAATAAGAGCCTTCACACTTTTCCTTTCCTTCTCACTTCTTTTCCTATGAGTTTTTTCTTCGAATTGTCGACCACTTAGCTAGTTGAATTGAACTGCGTTTGGTCGTGTCGTTAACAAAATAAACCAATACACCATATCGAGATCAACAATAGATCTTAGCTTTACATAGGGATCAACATCGGAGACCCATTGATAACTTATCAAGAGGAGCGCAAATTCACAATACTTCACACCTTAGCGCAGAACGTGCGGAACATAGTGGCATGGTATGGAGTGCGCTGGCCGGGACATGGAAACCGATCTAAAATCTTACATGCATTGAATATGGTCAGATACCCTTATTTCGTAGGATTACAATTTCGTAGGATCACTATCTTTGTAGGATCACCGATTTTGTAGGATCATTTCCGTAGGATCATTTCTTTCGTAGGATCAATTCCTCTCTCTTGTGCTTATGCATGTCCAGTAGCTAGTGAGTACGAGTAAAGCGAACATTGATGACTGCTACAGCAGCTCGAATATAAAAACCCTTCTTCCGCTGCCCTTCATCTGCATAGCTCATCAGCAAGATACTCCAGATGCTAGCAAATTAAACCGTCTTTCACCTTGCACTCTATCATTCCAACTTCAAGAATCTCTCGCCTCTTCAAAATGCGTTTCTCCATCACTTCCGCCATCGCTATCATGGCTGGTCTCACTGCTAGCGGATCAGCCTTCGTTATTGACACCTATAGTGGCACCGGCTGCGGCAATGTCGTCCAAACCGACGTCAACATCTGGGATAACACCTGTGCGACTTGGCCTGAAGGTTTCCAGTCTTTCAGGATCAGAGTCTGGGGCGGTAGTCATCAGATGGGGTACTTCTTCGCGCCCGATAACTGCGGGAGCCTTCCTGGGTCTATTGGCCAAGGCTATGTGGATTCTACAACCTACGACTACAAGCTTGGAGACTGCTATCATTTCAACGGTGCATCTGCCAATGCGATTGCTTCGTACGCTGGTTGATAAGTATAGGAATCCAACGAGGTAAGCTCTTATGTCACGATAGTTTTAAGAGAAGCTAACTGTATCCTAGAAGTATAGTGGCATTGTGAATTGTTGCAAGGAGGAGATATGGGGAGAAAGAAGGATTCATTCATTCATCCTGAATAGGATAGACCTCATTCACCTTTCCTTCACTAGTTAACCAGTTAGTCTAACACATATGACTTAAGCTTCACCGCACGTGGCTATACATCTCCCCTGTAAGGCACTTCTACAAGAAGCCCAGCAATCAGTTCCTTTCTAATAATATATATATCCTTGCTCCCTCGCACTTCTCTTCTCTCCGTGCTCTCGCAGCGTATTATAGGCGCCGTCTACTTAGTAGTTAATGCAAGCAGGGTGCAAATGTTGGGACTCCTAATTAGCTAAGTGCAAAGGAAGAATACAAGCGCACTCCTAGAATTGGATCGACTCCAATATCCATGGGGACGGACATTATTTACATCGATGTGAGCAACCCCGGAATCCCTCCTTGCAACTTCATTCAACGCGGCTCGGGCCGTGGCTTGGCTTCGGCGCGGGGGCGATGACATCGATTTTCTAAGTATTGGCGTTTCCGAAGGGACACAGGGCACGTGACCTCGTTCCTCTAACTAACTAATAACCAGGGGTTTATATGGGCCTAGACGAGTTTGGAAACATGAGATAAGTTGCCTGGATCGGCGCCACCACCACTTCATAAAACTGTTGGCGGAACTGGGCGAATTCAAAGTCCTTGCAGACGTCCCGGCCCCGAAAGCGAAATCTCACACATCGCTCAGTAGCATATCCATAAGAGTCTCCTGCTATACGGTAAACCTCATCAAGGCTGCCGATGGCAGCCCGATAGACGTCAAGGATTGAGGTATGCAATAGGACTGATTTGTTGGTACACAGCTCTATAAGGAAAATTCCGAGTGCAAAGATAGTTCTGTTGGGGATAAGGTCCTCCAGATCATGCGGGGGCTGCTCCTCCCTCGGTGCTGTGGGCGGAGAGAATATATCTGATATACAGGGGTACTGTGAGAGGATCTCGCGGCCACTTCTTGTTTTCTCGATGAAAATGGCCACTTGCTTTTGATACCACTGTTCACTACACCAGGGGCTTCCACCGAGGTGCAGGACAGACCACGAAATGGAGGCGGCGATGCCGTATCTCTGTTTTGCCGATAGGAAGAGCCAAGGGTCTTGTTGCTGTGGCTGCCTATGAACTAGAGACAGAAGAGGGATCACTTTGACGATGTTTGGCGCATTCGTTTGGTGGTGGGCAAGGGAGAATTGCCTATCTTGATCGTCGCCTGGGATTTTGAGGTTGCCTGTTAGTTTACACTTTGCTTGCAGAGCAGCACAGAGACAGGCTATCTCGCTACCTCCCGAGGCTACCACCGCGGCCACTGTCTGTGACGAACTAGGAGCAGTGGAAGGAGGAGGAGGAGAAGGAGCTATCACTGTGCATTTAGTAACAGTGGTTTCTCAGAGAGGGGTCTTTGCTCACTTACTGCTTGTGGCGGAGGGTTTTGGTTGAGATGGAACTGTCCGAGACTTTGAGTAGGTGGCTTTGAACTGCACGAACTTGGACCTGATCGATGAGGACGGAGAACGGGCTCTAGGTGGCGGTGACGGCGGAACCAGCAACGCAACGTGTGGCTTAGCTTGCTGGGTAAGTGACTCCAAAGTGAAGTGCAGCTCTCGCCATGAAATTGGGTGTTGCGGCGGCGCGCTGGGATGGTAAGAAATGGCAACCTTGAACGGTTTGTTCACATCTGCCTCATAGGCCGGCCAGTCGAGATTGATAGCCGCTTGGTGAGGCGTTGGACAGGCGCACTGGAACCTAGATCTCAGGGCATGGTGAAGGGAACCCAGGCACTGGCGGATGGAGTCGCAGCGTTGAAGGCTGAAACAGCGCCTCAGATCCTGCACCTTGCCGCTGTCATCTTCCGCGGGAATCTCTGCCTTTTCGAGAGCGTTCCTCAGGTCTTCGTTCCAATGCCTGAGGTCGTCAACCAGCTTATTACGCTTTCTTGTGCTGACACTGTTTTTCACTCTGCGCCATTCCCACTGGACTTTCTCGGGCAGGCCGTTCGGCTACGTATACGTCAGTACCGCCGTGCTGCCAATACTACTAAGGAACCGGTTAGGTTTAAGGTATTTTATACTTTCCCATTGACAACATCAATCTCTAGCTTCCTCAGGAGAGTAGCCGTGACGTTTCCATGTTCTGGATAATGACCATCAGACTGTGGGACATCGCGGGAAACTTGGCCTCCAGGCATTCGCGCAGCTCATCAATCGACGGCTCGATCAAACCGATGTTTCTGAGCGTCGTCTGGAGCTGTTTGTGCTGCATATCCAACCTGGCCCGGAAAGTCTCTATCGAGACATGGTAGTTGTGGAAGGTCTCGTAAGGCTCTGAATATTTCTCTAGTGCCCAGAGTACGAGAGGGATGCCAGAGAGAACCAGGCCGGTGATTTCAGCCATGGCCGCACGCTGTAGTCTCAAGTCAGGGGATAACCATACAGTACGTCCTCTTCGTCGAAAGCATCGCCTTTTCAACGGTCATGATAACGAACCCCGCCTGACGCAAGATTCAGCCTCGCGCGGATGCGGGATGTGCCGATAAAATACACCCCTTGTCCCCGGGCTTTAGGGAGAGCATCTCCGGTGGTATAACTAGCTAACTAAGCTCCTTAGGCGGGCCGTCTCAACAAAAAAGTTAACAAATTTACAAATTCAATAAGCAATGTAGCGAGACTTGATCTTTGAATTGCATACACCTGCTTAGGTAAGGCCGAGTCACGTGATAAGAAGTGCCAAGTTCCCGGTAGTCGCGAAATCCAACCGGTTGAAGTGATGCAACAAGTTGATGTAAACAGGAATTCTAGGCAGCAGATAATTATTTGCATGTCAATAACTGGCCTGGACTAGATATATATGCTGTAGGCTACGTGTTGTAGTTTGAGCTAGTATCATAATGTCGTCCGCAGCGTTGAAAGCGATAGACACACGCGAGATACAGCATCTTCATGCTGTCGTGGACATGGGCAGGTAACTAGTTAATGGACCGGACAACGGATTTATCCCCTCTACAAGTGCGGGCTAACTATAGAGTAGCAATGGGATTCGGTTCTCAATCTCAGACCTGTCTCCTGTGACGCAGCGGATCATGCCAACGGTCTTCCAGGACCGCGCAGGCATCTCGCTCTATGATGCGCAGTTTGGGGCTGAAGGTAGCACCAGACGGCCGATTCCTGACCAAGTCCGGGACCAGATCGTTTCGCGGTTACTGCGATTCAAGGTGACCTGCGAAGACTTTGGAGTGCCAGCAAAGAACATCCAGGTGCTTGCTACAGAGGCTACCAGGACAGCGCCCAACTCGGCGGACTTTCGGGCTGCTATCTACCGGGCCACAGGATGGGAGGTGACCATGCTGCCCAAGGAGGAAGAAGGGCGAATCGGAGGACTGGGGATTGCATCCAGTCTGTCCCGGGTCGAGGGCCTGGTCATGGACCTCGGCGGCGGCAGCGTGCAGCTTTCATGGATGATTTTTAACCCAGACAGCGCTGAGATTCAGTCATACCCTGCGGGATCGATTAGTTTCCCGTACGGGGCTGCTGCGTTGACCAGGAGACTAGATGAAGCGCAGAAGCTAGGAGATGAAGCCATACGGCAGCTAAAGGACGAGATGTTAGGCTGCTTTCGAGGCGCTGTCGCTGCTCTAGAGCTGCCTGCGAGTCTACAGAGCAGAATAGGGAATGATAGCAAGGATGGTGGCCTTGATCTGTATCTCAGTGGAGGAGGATTCAGGGGCTGGGGGTATCTTCTGCTCAGCCAGTCCGCTGTCAGCCCCTATCCCATCCCGATTCTCAACGGGTTCAGTACCGACCGATCACGGTTCCTCGACACCTCTGCAACTGTCAGTACCCTGTCCTCTGACTCGACTATCTACGGCGTTTCGGCCCGCAGAGCCACGCAGGTGCCGGCAGTAGCGTTTCTCATTAACGTCCTAGCAGAAAGCATCCCGTCAATACGTACGATCCACTTCTGCCAGGGAGGTGTGCGTGAGGGTGTGCTGTTCGACAAGCTGGCACCAGAGGTTCGACAGCAACATCCGTTAGTTGCTGCTACAGCGCCCTTTAGCACCGGCTCTGCCTCAGAAATTGCTTTGTTGCTGCGGCAGGCCATCCCCTACGCAAGCGAAAACGATGCATCAAACCTGTATGCGCCTCCGCCAGCAATTACTACCCCGGGATTCATTGAAGCCCTAGCGAACTCGATGTACATGCACTCGTCTGTGCCGAGAGCGTCGTATGCAAGTACAGCCTTACATTCTACAACAACCGGTATTCTTGCATATGCACACGGCCTCTCTCATACAGACAGAGCTATGCTTTGTCTTGCGCTCTTTGATCGATGGTCAGGCGACGTCTCCCCTTCGGACGAGCTGTTCCTCCACCGGATTCGGTCGATTCTCACCCTGCAGGAGGCCTGGTGGTGCCAGTATATCGGTCGAGTGGCCGGTCTGGTAGGCAGTATGTACCCAGCTGGGGTGATCAAAGGTGACAATGCTCGGATCAGCTTTCAGGCCAGGCTATCTCATCGCCAGACCAAGAAGGGGTTAACCAAGCATATACTGCATTTCGTAGCTAAGATACCGGATTCGAAGCACCCTTCGTTTGACGGTGAGTCTGTCACGGCCGGGCTGAAGAAGATCAAGCGGACTGGGAAGAAAGGTGAGCATCTACGCGGTGATGAACATGACGAGGCTGATCTACTGGAGCCAGAGGATGAGCACTGGCGACTGAAAGTAGAGACCGAGCTGGACTGCATATAGTTCAGGCTTGAGACGTACTTGGGGCTCATAGTTATTGATTGGTACTGCTAAAGCAATACGAAATGTCTCTCTATTGACTATCAAACTGTCCACCAGTGGAAGCAGTCTCACCATCTAACTCCACTACGCCTTTCTAACGCGAGATACATATCTGTCTATGTCTACCGAGAACGAGCAGCACCCATGCCACCTGCTGTACTACCCGGTGGTGGGCCAGGAGGAGGGCCAAGGGAGTCTTCGGATCCATCGGATAGTGTACCATCATCATCGAATTCATCATCAGAGTCGTCCAGCTCAAGCGGCGGGCCACTATTTACGCCTGGACGCTCCCAAGACGGAGTATACAATGGCAGACCCCGTGGTGTAGCAGTCGCAGATGAAGGCCCAGGAGCGTCTGGCTGTGGTCCAGCAGTCTCAAGTCTCCTCCATTTTGCCATGCAAGCCTCACAGATGCCTCTGATGTCGTTAATTAGGATGGCCGGCTCAGCATTACTGCCCCCGCCCTCTGAGACGTTTCGCTCGATTGCCGTCTGTACCGGTTCCTCTTCATGGCCGCACTCCCAGCGATCCTTGGACAGGTAGAACTCTTTCTTCCGCCCGGGTACAGGGTTGGCGATGTCTGGGTTCTGCGCAAGGATAGTGTCGTAGTCTTCCCACTCTGCAAACTGGGGGGTGACAGGTCTCAGGTCTGGGTTGGCTACTATGGCGGCCTCGAGCTCCGCGGTTGCAGCAGCTCCACCATCGTCTGGGACTGTAGATGCAGATCTCTGGTTGTTGTTACTGTTAGTTCTGTTGGTGTCTGGCTCTGAGCCGGAATTGCTGGGAACGAGGGACATATCGACAGCACGAGCAAGGCTTTATCAGGGGCATCAGCAAAGAGTTCCCGAGAGGAATACTCCTGAATGTCTGGTAGAACGGTGTCATGAACAGTCTCTGAGCGTCCATGGCCATTTTATAACTACATATACTGCCGTCATTCCGAGGACTTTGGTAGTAACACCAGCATCTTCACCAACATCTTCACCAGCAAGACAGACAGCCAGGGCAGATCTGTGAAATAGCCCTGATTATGCCAATTTATCACTTAATATCTCAACTGCTAAGAGTCACTAAATGTCTGGAAGCGAAAGCTACACTTATTTAGCGCCCACATACGGCTACCAATATCACCACCACCACCCCTGGGTAAATTTCTGCCTCTTCAACTAACACCCCCTTCACTGATAGTCTCCGGAAGGGCTCCGGTTAACTCTTGCATGGCTGGCCTTTGCCTCCCTGCCCCTGCCCGCTCGGTACAGCAGCAAGAAGAATAAGCAAAACCGTCTACCAAATACTGAGTTAAGTATATCCAGGGATATACCAGATAATCAAATCAACGCAAATCGATAACAATCCCGGATGCCGGATGACTAAACCCCCACCAACGATCATGTTAGTTAACTTAGTATTTTCTTGCTATAAAAAACCCCGCAGGCCGTTTTCTCCTGCTGCTTCTTCTTCTTTTCTTCATCATCAAAAAATCGTCTTCGTAGCCGGACAATTCAGCATCAATTGCACTTTGTCTAGTGATAGCATCTCCATCGAGACTCACAGGTGACTCTTCGTCGACGTTTCCCCCCTTTCCTCTACTGCTTCGTAGTTGCATGCTAACCGCCGTATAGAACGAACAACATCAAGACCGGTACATCTCTCCAAGATGGAGGTCATGACTCCCCAGACGCTGGGAAGAATATCCAACGAATGGTCAAGGTATCTCGAATATAACAACTCGTGTGCATGAACCGGTGTTCGTTGTCCTCGATGTCTTCGTCCTGCACCCAACTCTGCCTTGCCGCTTCGTCTCGCGGATGGTCCAGAGAGGTGCAAGAAGCATCGAGGCTTCGTTCTGAAATTATACGGTCCGAACTTGATCTGGATAATACCAGCGAAAGGATCATGCTTCCCCCCTCCCCTCGTCTCCCTCTGGCTCTATCTCCAGGGGGACGATGAAAGCACTGCTGTTGGATCGTCTAACCTCGTCTAGTCTTCCGCCGTAAAACACCCCTATATCAACACCAACTTCAGCAAAGATGGTTCCCCCTCCAACTGCTACTCTTACTGAGACCGTTGCCTCTGTTGGCAATGCCGTGAGAGACAACTTCGCCGGCGAGGGTAACACCCTGGCCCAGGCTGCCCCTGAGGCCAGCTCTGGCTCTGGATACGCCCTGCTGGACGAATTTGCCGGCAAGTGGGAGGAGTTCAAGTTTGCTCCTATCCGCGAGAGCCAGGTCTCCAGGGCCATGACCAGCCGTTACTTCAAGGACATGGACACCTACGCCGAGAGTGACATCGTCATCGTTGGTGCCGGTTCCTGCGGTCTCAGCACTGCCTACGTCCTCGGCAAGGCCCGTCCAGACCTCAAGATTGCTCTCATCGAAGCCTCTGTCTCCCCTGGTAAGCCCGCCCCTTATCAATGGTTTCTTTCGATAGATCATCAGTTCAACTAACGGGAAATAGGTGGTGGTGCCTGGCTCGGTGGCCAGCTTTTCTCTGCCATGGTCCTGAGGAAGCCTGCCAACCGCTTCCTCGATGACCTAGGTGTCCCATACGAAGAGGACGCCAGCAACCCCAACCTCGTCGTCATCAAGCACGCCGCCCTCTTCACCTCTACTTTGCTCTCCAAGGTGCTCTCGTTCCCCAACATCAAGCTCTTCAACGCCACCTGCGTTGAGGACCTGATCACCCGTCCTCGTGCCTCTGAGGCCTCGGGCTACCAGATCGCTGGTGTCGTCACCAACTGGACACTCGTCACTCAGCACCACGACGACCATTCCTGCATGGATCCCAACACCATTAATGCTCCCCTAATCATCAGCACCACTGGCCACGACGGCCCATTCGGTGCTTTCTGTGCCAAGCGTCTCGTCTCCATGTCTGCCCTCGAGAAGCTCGGAGGCATGAAGGGTCTGGACATGAACTCCGCCGAGGAGGCTATTGTTAAGAACACCCGTGAAGTCACTAAGGGTTTGATCATCGGTGGAATGGAGCTCTCTGAGATCGATGGATGGCACCGTATGGGCCCCATCTTCTCTGCTATGATGCTCAGTGGTCTCAAGGCTGCTGAAGTTGCCCTTGAAATCTTCGAGGAGCGAAAGAAGGAATGCGCTGCATAAATGCCTTTCTCATGTATTTACTAAACTTGTCACGACGATACCGAATGATGACGGGAGGAAAAAATTGTTGTCTTCGACCGATGAGGAAATAATAGTTTGTATGTCTGACTTGGTCATACACTTCGGGCTTAACTAGTATACGCTCATTAGCAATATTATCTAAACTTGTACTCTCTCCCCTTCACATTATATTATATATATCATATCATTCGTAAACCAAAGTCATCACGCCTGGCATAAAACAAAACGAACAAACAGAAACTAGACGCCTGCTAGTGGGCATTCTTTGTGGGTGACCTGAGATCTTCCTCTATATCCAGTCCAAGACCCAACACTGTCCGTCTGGTATTCTTGATCTCCCACTGGAACTCCTTGAGCGCTCGTATCTCGCTACTCATGAACAGTCCACCGATAAGCCCATCGATAATGCCGGCAGATAAGCTAAGCGTGCTGACAAGACAGAGGATGAATGAAACGTATGGGTAAGGTGCCCACCATGTTCCAACAAAACACCCAATGGATACTGCTATTGAGATGAGGAAGTGGCCTAGTCTTGCTCGTCGCTGGAACCGCTCTCGCACCATGTAGACAGATATCATATCCAAGATATCATCATACACATCGGCCGATAAGGCAGGGACGGGTTGCTTGGTAGCTTCCGGGGGTAGATTAGAGGTTTGTCGTAATATAGCATAATCATTGATTGCTGTGTTGGGGCCGGTGTGACTCTGTATCGGCAAGAAGAGAGAAGGTGCATTGTCGTCGTCGTCTACATCGCTGGAGGGTTTCCGTTCAGTCCGATACACGGGCGGATGGGCCCTGACAACAGTGGCTTCGACGGAGAAATGGTCACTTAGAGAACAATGAAGCGTTGGATGACGCTCCATCATGCCCACGCGAGCTGAATGAATATTCCATTTCCACGACGAGGAAGATGGAACGGCGTTATCAGTGTGGTTGAGGTAAGAACCGTTACCTACAAAGATATAATCCAGCCTCTTTGCATACGGGTCTGGTAGACTCCCGTCAACACTAATATGGCCCTCTCGAGCCAACCGTTTCTGGTCCGTCTTGGACCACCGCCAGGTATTAAATGCTCCATCACACGTCGCTCCGTTTTCAAGAATATTGAAATCCGCACTCGGAATTGGCTTGTTCCGCGCAATCTCGACATCATCTATTGCTGCACCGATAGACGACTCTGGCCGTAGATAGCGCCATACATCTGTCACAGGGGCGTGAGCAGTAATTAGACGATGTGCAAAGGACAGAGGAAGCATGTTGAAGTCTCCAAGACCGATGACCAGATGCCCTCTCTCCGCAGCGCCCCGCATCAGCTTGGCTATTTCCCACGCCTGAGCTGTGCGGTGGCAGATGTACGAATCGTGCGGCTCCCGCTCGTATGGGGCGTGTAGATGTGTGCAAAACACTGCGGCAACATCCTTTGAGCCTGGCCCGATCCTTATCCTCGCGTATGCCACTCCCTTGCCCACAAACCAGTCCCCTCGAAAGAAGGCCGTGGGTCGTCCGTTCAGGGGGTACTGGAACATACTGCTCTCCTCAATTGGCCATTTCGACAGAATCGCCAGCCCTCCACCAAATATTCCGCTGTGGTAGAACTTGCCATAGGGCAGGATATGTCTCGTCTCGTTGCGGATCGCATTATAGTCTTCCTGCGTCCAGCATTCCTGTAGTCCAACTATTTCAGGGGGGAAATCGGCGTTGGCGAGGCGCTTGCCGATCTCCAGCAGCCTCTCGCGGCGGAACTGGGAGATGTACTTTAGGCCCCAGCAGTTGAAACTGATGATGTTGATTTTATGAGGCGACTCATCGCTATATTGCAGGGTGGTCATGCTGACAGTAGCAGTGTCCTGTAATAATAATGCAAGTGATGATTGCTCACAGCGCACGAAACACGGGTTCCCAGCACAAACTGAAACCGCGCGAGTCCTAGCGGCCACCGTTCAATCGCAGACCTGTCCAATTGTCACTCGCGGCGCCTTTCCTGCGCAATTCTTGTGCCTCTTTCTTCAGCTCCTCAGATCCTCGAACGCGTGCGAGATGCTCATGAAAGGAGTGGAAGTCGTTTTGTTTTTCCGTTTCAGGAAATCAAGAACACTCCAAAGAGCCGCGAGTCACGTGAGAGAATCCTCGATCCGATCTGGGGTAAGAAAAATGAGGATAAAAACACAAACAAGATACGACTTTGGACTGGAGTATAGTTAATATTTTAATATACGTCCATTTTATCTTTCAAGTACATTTTATTACTGTCGAATTCCTACTGTAAACGCCCATATCAAGCTGCTGTTTCTCGTGATTATGTAATGACACCAAAGTAGAGCCGCATGTCATGTGATATAAATAAACACCTGCTCACCGCCTTAAAATGGCGCTCTGCTATTGGCTAATAGCTTATAAAGCTTAATTCTGCCATTTTCAAGGATCGAAATTCAAGCAGAAACACAAGCAAAGAAGACGAAGACAAGACGAAGAAAAGGAGAGGGACGAAGAGAAGAAGTGAATAAAAAGGTAACTGACATGGAGGAAGAAATCCCGCCGACGAAGAAGCGCAGACTAGACGATGGCACTCCTCGGTCCACAGACGGCAGTTCGTCGGACGAGCTTGAGGGAGACGCGGATACTGGCCGCCGCAGAGGTAGCTGGAGCAGAGATCCACGACCACAATCGCCGACCTACCGTTCTCCAAGGGTGAATAAACGATCGTCAAGGTCGCGGAGTGTGTCCGGTAGCGGCGGTGAATTCGCTGGGGATGTAAAGGCGTCCTGGCGATCTCGGTCAGGCTCTCGTGCACGCTCACATTCACGGTCTCCTTCTCGATCCCCATGTTCAAGGTCAATATCACGATCTCAGACTCGTTCTCACGGTACAAGGAGCAGGTCGACGTCTACAGCGAAGGAGAGGAGAGTAGAAGGATCTGGCCGGGAATCGGTGGATGGCCGGGAGTACAGCGGGATTGACTTAGAGGATGAAGGGCAGACAGCTCGGAGACGAGAGAAGACTCCCAAGCCAACCACGCCTCCACCGCTGCTTCAGCCGGAATGCCTTCATTATAAGGAGAAATTTGTGCTAAAGGGTCATCAGCGGGGTGTTTCTGCGGTGAAGTTCTCCCCTGATGGGACAATGGTAGCAAGTTGCTGTAAGAGAGGCCTTCCCTTGGATGAACGTGATTCCACTAACTAGTTCGAATAGCTGCCGATGCGACGATAAAGATATGGAACACAGCTACAGGGAGTTTGATTCACACTTTTGAGGGTCATCTGGCAGGGATATCTACTATATCTTGGAGCCCGGACGGGGAGACAATTGCATCAGGGTCGGACGACAAGTCAATACGGCTCTGGGATGTGATAACGGTTTGTACACACCCATACACGGGACAACCACCGCTATGCGGCTCAGCTAGGTGCTAATACAGACTATTTATAGGGGAAACCGTATCCGAATCCGTTTGTCGGTCATCACAACTACGTCTACTCGATTGCCTTTTCCCCCAAGGGGAACATGATGGTCAGCGGCTCATACGACGAAGCAGTCTTCATATGGGACGTACGGTCTGCCCGAATCATGCGTTCTCTACCCGCACACTCAGATCCTGTTGCGGGCGTTGACTTTGTCCGTGACGGCACGCTCATAGCCTCCTGTGCCAGTGACGGCCTTATTCGGATATGGGATTCAGCAACCGGACAGTGTCTGCGCACGCTCGTCCACGAAGACAACCCGCCAGTTGCATCGGTGAAGTTTTCGCCGAACGGAAAATTCATCTTAGCCTGGTCGTTGGATGGATGCGTTCGGTTATGGGACTATGTGGAAGGACGGTGTATAAAAACGTACCAAGGCCACACCAATGAAAAATACAGCATTGCAGGCACATTTGGACAGTATGGGCATCGGCGGCCCTCTATTTCTTCTCTAAAAAGGCCAAGAGAGCAGCAGATGAATATCGAAAAGGAGTATGCTTATGCAGCGAGCGGGAGTGAGGACGGCAGGATACTGTGCTGGGATGTGATAAGCAAGAAGACCTTGCTGGACCTGGCAGGCCATTCTGACGTTGTTCTTGGGGTAGATGCTTTCTCGCCGTCCACAATGGATCAGAAGAGACTTATGGCTAGCTGCGGCTTGGATCAGACTGTGAGGATATGGGAAGAGGAGGAGGAGGAGGATGATACAGGTGAACCGAGAGGGGAAGAGAAGGCATCTGATGCCCAACGGGACAATGACACACCTGTGGAAAAACCAGGCGATGAAGACGCAACTATGAATGCCGTTGGAGATCTTGAGGTCAAGGCAGAGAATGTAGGCTCGGATATGGAAGACCAGACTCCTGTGACGGACAAGGCCAGCAATAGCATGGACAGTGACGGCGATTTGGTTATGGGATAAGACAGTCATCAGCCACCGGCTTTTTATGGGGTTATGACTGTGATGGATATGATAACCGCATATAACTAACATACTCATGTTATACTGGATATTCGCACCCAAGTCATCAATCAAGCATATATGCTTTTTGTCTACACGGCGACCAGCACCAACGACCGTATATATGCCCGTCTGCTAAATGATATATATGCGTATATATATGGGAGGATGTAACGATGAATCTAGGCATTTTCAACGACTTCAACGTCCTGCTTACGGACTTGTGCGTTCATACCAGCGACCTTATTCTTCGTGGCCTCAGACTGGATTTGCTCTTCGGTGACCAGGCCGGCCACCCTGGCCTGCTCTTCAACACTCAATGGCGCAATAACATTCTCTTCAGTAAAGTAGTTGGTCTCCTTGACGTAGACGATCAAGACGTAGACCATACCGATAACCCCGATCACATAGAGTCTGCCGCCGTTAGTATTATGGCCAATATCAACACCAACAAACTACTCAAACAAGTAACTAACAGGGACCGACTCACGAGAATTGAAGAGACAGCTGGCCCACAAAAGGCACATTCTGAGCAGCCATGACGAAGGAGAGACAGATTCCCAAACTGAGAGTCCCCTTAAAGACGCCTCCAAACTGGGCTAGCTTCGACGGATCATTGGTAAGGGCGCTGACAACCCACTCGATGGTCATCTGGTAGGCAGCATAGATAGCACCGAAGAGCAGGAAGAGAGCAAACATGCCGCCGAACTCTGGGTCAGTCCAGTCCTTTGCCTGGGGCTTCTTAAGGCTGGCGATGTTGTTGATATCAAGCCAGGCGTATAGACCAGCGCTGGCACCGACAGATACAGCGCCGATGACGGCCACACCAATGAAGCCTCTGGTCTTACGGTTCTTGACCTGTCGGTTATCTAGGATACAGACCATGATCCAGGGCATGAAGACCTGGATTGAGTGGAATGCTAGGTTGTTTATTGACCGGGTCCTCAGGTTGAAGTAGAATGCTAAGCCAGAAGTTAGCACAGCACTACAATAACTACCTAGGTATGTATCTAGAGGAGCATGTAACGGCATCACATACCGTTGATACTGCTGACCAAGGCGAGGCCCATCTCGCAGCCCAGGATGGCAGGGAAGAGGATGAACATCCGGGGGTCAAAGAAGGCCCTGGCCATGGCCTTTGAGCTCAACAGACAGCTTGGGGGGTTTGAAGACGGCGATAATGGGGTTCCCATCCGCGCGGACGACCTTTCTGCGATCGACCAGGGAAGGAAGAACGCCAGGGAAAAACGGGCAGACAGTGGATGGCCGTAAACGTCCCCGTAAACAGCACTCGAGACGCCGACGGGCTTTTTGCTGGGGGAAGTTGGCAGCAAAGGCGATGATGGCGCCCACAGTCGCGGCCAGTCGACCGCAGCATCCACTGGATTACTGATGAACTAGAAACGCCATTAAGCATGAATCTACCTACTCATCGGAACTGGGGGGGGTTACC